GGGGGGGGCGGGGACAAAAGCCAGAGGGTACATACAGGGAGCCAGAAGCTGTCTGCTGTTGGGGCAGACAGCAAACGGAGCAAGGCAGGGTGGAAAGGGTTAGGGCCTTGGCCTCCCAGGTCTTGGGTGTTAGCATTACTCGGTGGGCGTGGTTCCAGACAGGGAGCCCTGTGTCTTGGCTCCACCCAGTTCAGGGTCTGGAGTTGCCAGAAACCAGCCCTGGGTAGCCTCTTGCCTATGCTAGTCATTTAAAAAGCAATCACTTTCAACAGCATTTACGTTTCTTTCTGAGAAGCATGAGATTGGTTTTCCTCCAGAGATCAGCCTGCTTTCTCTTTAGATCCTTCCTCCGCCTCCTCCAGCCACCATCTTTTAAAGACTGGGTAGGTGGACCTCCAGCCTTTAAAGAATTCTGTGTAATTTGCTAACAACTGAGAAAATGAACAGTTAAAACTGCGTCTATAAACTTGGGAGAAGGGAGATTTGGAGCCAGAGGAAAACACCGCCAAGGAGAAGTCACAGATCAGCTCTGAGGAAATCCTCCCCTCCTGCCTACCAAGCCAAAGCAGAAGTACCAAGACAAGCTGGACATCTCTACCGAGTCAGTCAACACATCACCAATTCCCTCCCAATCTGCCTCCTAAACCTCTCTAATTCCTCTCTCCTATTTCAGGCCTCACCAGGGAATAGTACACTTAAAATCTGTGCGTTACTCTGTACGTGAATTTTACCTAAACAAAGCCCCTCTGGCTCCACATCGCCATCAGGATAAACTGAATACTCCTTGGCAGGGCATTCGAGGCCTTTGCGCACGGCCCTAACTTAGCTCTCCAGCCTCACTTCCTGCTACGCCCAACCACCTCATTCTCCTAATCCATCAGGCTGTTTCTGCCTAAGTGCAAAACCATCTGCTTTTCGCTGCTTTGCTTTGCTCAAAGCTTAGGGAAAAGTAGTCTAGCAGCCAATTATACACCTACTGAGGGCATTCCTTACAATCTGGGAACACCCCACAGCTGCAAAGAGACAGCTTGCCAAATCCAACTTGCTGCCACCACTGGTAACAAAAGTGCCCTCGTGCAGTGGGAATGCTTTACGTTTACCAGAGCACTTAGACACCTACTCTCTCACTGGCTCTCAAAAACCCTGAGATATGGAGGGCACGAGTTATTCCCATTCTAGAGATGAGGCAGAGCCTCAGAGAGGCAGTGATCTGCCTAGAGTCACGTGGCCAGTAAATGACTGTGTCTGACATCAAGAGCCAGTGCTCTTTCCTCTTAACAATTTCAGGAGACACAATTAGGATCAGGAGGGCCAGCTCAGCTGCCTCAGGTACAGAAACCAGGCAGCTTTTCCCTCCTCAGACCAGCCTCATTCATGCCCCCAGTCTGGGGGTGCCATGTGCAGTGCAGTGAGCTGTCACTCACTGCATCCTGTCTGGCCAATGGCCCAGTTTAACGGGCCAGGCCAGGCTCCAGGCTGCCATCTCACTCAGCTTTGTGCCCAGGTCAGAAGTGAGGGGGCACAGGCCATCAACTGGCAAAGCTGGCAGCCAATGACAGCCTGAGAACCTGGCTGTCTATCTCAGGCTGTGCCTGAGCATCCTCCCCATTCTACTCAGCCTCACACAGGTGACTCACCTGGGATGCTGCAGCGTGTGCAGCAGGGTGCTCTCAGGAGGCACCTGGTGTAGTTCTGCCCTCTCCTCATCCTCAAAGTAGAGCTGCAAGATTAACAGAGCTGTGTCATTGTTGTGTTCCATCAAATTGATTCCGACTCGTAGTGACCCTATAGGACACAGCAGAACTGCCCCATAGGGTTTCCAAGGCTGTAATCTTGACAGGGGCAGATTGTCAGGTCTTTTCTCCTACAGAGCCACTGGATGGGTTCAAACTGCTGACCTTTCAGTTAGCAGCTGAGCACTTAACCACTGGGCCACCAGCGCTCCTTTAGAGAAGCAGTAGTCAGTACAAATAAAAGGCTTCGGCAGACTAGGTGGGCTGCAGCCACGCCCAGGGAAAACGTAAAGAGATGGCAACTGTTATTAGCTGAATGACTTCTTTATATGGTTGTGGGGCTCGGTGCTTTGCATTTAGTCCTCTTCATGGCACTGAAAGAAATGTATTACCAGCTCCATTTTCCAAAGACAAAACTGAAGCTAAGAATAGTGAAATAACTTGCCAAAGTCACCCAGCTAGTAAACTGAGCAGCCAGGACTCAAGTCCAGGCCTATGTAGCCTTCCCTTCCCTAACAATTCAGTCCTAGAGCCACCAGGTGTGGGGGGGAGAAAGCCATAAGCAGGGGAAAAGCCTAAGCATGGGCAAGGTGGATGGCCACAGAGGGGACAGACTTGTGCAGGGTGTCAAAGCCCAAGCAGGGTGAGGGGGATGTCTGCACAGCAGGGCTGCCAAACGGTGAGGGTGTCAGAGCCCGGCCAGTGGAGGAGAGCACCCACAATGGGAGACGGCCAGCCTGGGCACAGCAAAAGGACTTCCTTGTCAGATGGCTGTCCAGAAAGGGGTGTCAGAGCTCAAGTGGGGTGAGGAAGCCATGTACACAGAGGGGGCCTGTTGTGGGCAGTCAGAACCTGAGTGGGGTGAGGAGGCGATCCACGCAGAGGGGGCCTGTTGTGGGGAGTCAGAACCCAAGCGGGGTGAGGAGGCCATCCATGCAGAGGGGGCCTGTTGTGGGGAGTCAGAACCTGAGCGGGGTGAGGAGGCCATCCATGCAGGGTGGTTGAGCAGTGCAGTTAAGAGTCTGCGCAGGATGAGGAAGACTCCCGTACAGAGGCTGCAGTCTAACATGGGGAGTCAAGAGTCCAACTGGGTAAGGAAGGTTCTATATGGGGGAGGGGGGACCTGTGGTGACAGGAGATTGCATATTAGGAATTGATCAAATGAATAAACATATTAAGAATAATAAAAACCACTGTTACAAATATAGAAAGGGAGAAAATAAGAATATAAAACCTGTGCAGTGGGTTAGAACCGGAGACATCAGTGAGAACTCATGGTTGCATGTGTGTGTGTCTGTGTGTGTCTGTGTGTGTGTGTCTGTGTACAGCTGTGAATGTTAGGCAATACACACTGAAGTACTTGGGGGTGACAGGGCATCAGCTGGCATCGTACTCTCAAACAATCTGAGGAAGATAAATTCTTTGTACTGTAAATTTGTGGGTTTTTTTTTGTTGTTGTTTTTAAAAATCCCATAAAAGAACAAAGTAAAACTTCTCTTACCTCTAAATTATCAGGGCAGTATTTTTGCTCCAAGTCCCAAGAGGGCATTTCACCAAACATCACCATTAGATGATCAATAAACCTAAGGATGCAATATGTGCTTCTGGGCATCACTACTGCATGATCTGTTTTCCCATAACACAGTCCCTGGGCACTAATTCACAGATACATCAGGAATATATAAAGCATGCAATGCAGGCTGAAGCCAGTTCTGACAGTAGCATCCAAAATACGTATGTGTTTACCACCTCCCATTACTGACATAATATTGTTCTTTAAACTGACTCAGGCTTAACAACATTACTTACGTTTAGCTACATTCTAAGCATTAACTTTATGAAATCTCAAGTTAAATGTGCTAATTATATTTTTTCTAATATTTGTACACTTATTATTCATGTACAACCTAAAATGATTTCATATTTCACTAGTGATACGTGAACATGGTATGTGATACACTCTTTAGCAAACACTCTGCTCTGGTGTTACACTTACTAGCCCAGTCAGCATGCTGGTGAAGCTGGTGTCTGCCATTGCAAACTTCGTCAGCTACAGGGTAGAGAGGTTACACCAAACCAGGCTGTGTAAAACCCTCTGAACTATTCTATTCCCTCCTTAAGCAAAACTCCACCAGTTTCTACTTCCCAGTCAACAGGACAGAGAGCATATAAGCAAGAGCAGAGGGATACCAGGCAAGTAAAGTACCTGGAGTCCTCGTGAAAGGCTGAGATGAAGTCTGACTGGCCATACTCCGGGTACAGAAAGAGCACAGGCCAGCTCAGCCTGCCCTGGTCATCCAGACTCATTCTGGCTCCGTAGGGGTTCTCAGAGATGAGCCCATCCAGGAAAAGCTCACCTAAACCTTCTGAGGCAGAATCTTCATCTTCACCAGCAGCTTCAGAAATTAACCTGATGTTCCTAGCCTGCATTAAAGAAACACAGACACACACAAACCTTACTGTAGAGGAGGACGCAAACCTGCTTCACTGAAAGCGGGAAACCACAGCACTACGAGCTCCCTGAGGGCCAGCCCTACACAATTCATCTTCATTATCCCTGAGGCCTGGCACATGGTAGGCATCACCTGTTCAACTCATCTTTACTACACAGAGATGAGCCAGACTTAGTTTCCTGCACTCAAAAATCTCATGATCTAATGAGGGAGACAGCTATAGAAATAATCACAATATAAGGCCAGAAGTGGAGCTGTGGAGCTGCAGAAAATGGAATAATTAGTTTAGCCTGCAGGCTGGAGGTGACTGGGAAATGCTAGGCCAAGGATAACGACTTTTAGGCTGAAAAGTTGAGGGGAGGGTGAAGAAAGGCATTCCAAGCCAAGGAACAGCATGTGCAAAGGCACAGAAGAAATACAGTGTTGTATACACAGAAGTGGCAAATGTTTCAGCTTAGCTAGAACATGGAATACTAAAAATAATGTGTGTTGACTTAATCTTGATGTTTTCATGGAAATGAGGGCCAGATTAAGGGTCTGAGTAAGAGGCGGTCATCTCTTTTGTGTGTGTGTGTGTGTGTGTGTGTGCGTGCCTGTAGGGGATCCTAAAGTTAGCACACAAGGGGAAAATTACATGCAATCAAAATTACCCATGACAATATCCTTAAATCAGGAGATATCCATCTTAAATCAGGGATCAACAGACTTTTCTTTGAAGGGTCACATAATAAATATTTTAGGCTTTGCAGGCCAAACTGTCTCTGTCCCAACTACTCAACTCTGCCGTTATAAGGTGAAAACAGCCATGGATAATACATAAATAAGCAGCATGGCTATGTTCCAATGGCTGCAGTTTGCCGACTCCTGCCTTAAACCATCAGTAAAATATAGTTTGTATGGCTTTGTGTGTACTACTATTAAGAGTAATTTTATGTAGATCGAAGTTGAGGATGAAGAGTTAGACTGAAGAAGGGAAGAAGAACAACCAAAAAATCTATATGCAGATGTCTGACACTCAAATATTCTACTTCTAAGAAAATAACCAAATCCCTCACTGTGAAAGACAATGAGAAACTGGAGTACTCCATTCTGCTTCATCTGTTAATACATGTTAGCAGCTGGCTTGTTGTGGGGAGGGACTAAAGTAGTGCATCTTGGCAGTGTTAGGTTCTCAAAGTCACTAAGTAACTTAAATGGGCGCATAATTTAACTGCATGAAGAATGAAACGAAGAACCTATCCCGAAACCTTACAGAAAGTCTTATCTCCCTTTTGAAGACCAAGCAAGCCAAGGTTCCAACAGGCGACTTGCTGGGTTTGAAGGTAAAGGCAAGATTTGGATCAGACTGTATTCATTTCAAAATTGATAAAAGAGGGAAGTAGAAGGGAAAAGGTCGGTGTTTTTTTAAATTGTTTTTGTTACAGTTAGAGAAGCAGTGTCCTAAAAATACAGACATTCTCAGGATGCAGTATAGTACAAAGCACAGTGGTTAAGAGCAACTATGTGTTTCTGACACACATTAGCTGTGCCAGGTTTCTTCACCTCTCTGAGAATGTTTCATCATCTAGCAAAACAAGAGCAAGCTGTCTGCCTCAGAAGGAGACTGTGAAGACTAAATGAGATAATGCTTAACCCAATGTCTAAAAACAAAAAACCAAACCCACTGCCATCCAGCAGATTCTAACTCATAGAGACCCTACAGAACACAGCAGCACTGCTGCATTGTTTCCAAGGCTGTAAATCTTTAGAGAAGCAGACTGCCACATCTTTCTCCCACAGATCAGCTGGTAGGTTTGGACCACTAACCTTCTGGTTAGCAGCCGAGTGCTTAACCACTGTGCCACCAGGGTTCCCTACCCAAATGTCTAGCACATAGTAAATATTCAGCATATGACAGCCAGTATTAGTTTTTATTCCAGAGCTTTGGAATCATACCCATATATAACCTTTACAAGCAGGCTCCTGTCACCTTTTGATAGGTCAGTAACTATCAATTTCAACGGAACTCATCAGTTACATGTTTATAAAGAGACAATGCCTTCATCTGAAGCTAAGAAACTGGCTTAGAGGGGTTCTGTGACTTGCCTGAGGCCATCACATGCATACAAGTGGGACTGCTGAGAACAAACACTGCTTCACCAAAGCAGAAAGAAAATGAACAAATTCATTCAGGTAAAGCATTCCAAGAAAGGCTCTTAACAAGCTTCAGGCTTAGTGGATTTAGCAGGACTAGAAGGGCCTAAGCTTTGAGAACTCACCTTGACAGCCTGGATTAAAGTCTCATTCTGATTCTGCTCCTTCTTTTCTTTCAATTTTGCTTTCCTTATATCCCTCTGCTCGGTTCGCTGAAAATGAAATTCAGATGCATCAGCCCTAGGGAACTTGTTTCCTCTGTTACCCCAACCTGCTCCTGAATTACTATCTCTGGTCTCTTCAACCCATGCTCCTGTGTTAAGGGATACCAGTAGCCAGATTCAATGAACATTTACAAAGCACATGTACAAAGCCTCTGGTAGCAGAAATTTAAAAGTTAGTGTACAGTTCAATGAGTTTTGGCAAATGTATACACGAGTACCAAACACTGCAGTCAAGACAGAACATTTCCATCCCCTAGCAAGTTCCCTCATGCCTCTTTGCAGTCAACTCCCCTACATCATTGATCTGGTAAGTTTTTTCTTTTTATCACCAAGTAATATTCCACTGTATGAATATACAATTTGTTTATTCATTCTCCTATTACTGGATGCAAAGGCTGTTTCCAGTTCTACACTATTATGAATAAAGCAGCTATGAACATTCTTCTATGAGTCTTTTTATAAACATATGTTTTCATTCCTCTTAGGTAAATTGCTAGGAGTGAATTTGCTGGATCACGAAGTAGGCGTATATTTAACTTTATTTAACTGTCAAACTGATTTCCAAAGTGGTTGTACCAATTTATATCCCATTGGGAAAGTATGAGAGTTCCAACTGCTCCACGTCTTTGCCAATATTCGGTAATGTCAGCTGTTTTAAAATTTTAGGCATCCTAGTGGATATGAAGTGGCATCCCACTGAAGTTTTAATTTGCATTTTTCTAATTACTAATGATGTTAAGCATATTTCATTTGCTTACTGGGCATTTATATATTTTCTTTAAGACAAGTATTTGTTCATACCATCAAATCAAGTCCATTTTTTAGTTTGTCTTTTTCTTATTGAGTATATAGATTTCTTTATACATTCTGGACACAAATCCTTTGTTAGATATAGGTACTACAAATATTTTCTCCCATTCCACAGCTTGCCTTTTAATTTTCTTGACAATGTCCTTTGAAGAACAGACTTTTTTTAGTTTTGACTAAGTCGCATTTATCAATTTTTTGTCTTTTAAGGTATTTTTTTTCCATATTTTAAAAACTGAGGTAAAATCCACGTAACATAAAATTAACCATTAGCCATTTTAAAGTGTACTATTCAGGGTAATTTAATTATTCACTATGTTGTGCAACCATTACCTCTTATCTAGTTCCAAGACATTTTCATCACCCCAAAAGGAAACTCTGCACCCACTAGCAGTTACTTCCCCCAGCCCCTGGTAACCACCCCTAGTCTGCTTTCTGTAGCTATAGATTTATCTATTCTGGATGTTTCATATAAATGGAACTAAACAATATATTACTTTTTTATGTCTAGCTTCTTTCATTTAGCATAATGTTTTCAAGGTTCATCCAAGTTGTGTGTATTACTACTATATATATTATATATTCTGGCTTACCTGTATCACATTGTAACTGCTTCTTTACTTATCTGTATCCTCCACATAGCTCCAAGGGTAGGATTATCATATTGGCTGGTTTGGGTTTTGGTTTTTAAAGAAGAAAAAGTTTGCAATGCCCTGAGAGCCACAATCTGGGGAAGCCAAATGGTAATTGGCTGCTTATTCTGCCACCAACCTTCAGCTTGTCTGCTTTAGCCCTCGTGTCCACAAGCTTCTTCTCCTTGGCATCTATCTGCAGTCCCTCGTCGCACCAACTCACAGCCTCGGCAAAGTTTTTCAGTTCCAGATGGCATAAGGCCCCTGTAGAATCCAGAACCCTTACAATACATGGACAATGTGCATGGAAAGAAGCCTGCCTTGAGCAGGACCCGATTCCCCAGTCCCAATAACCACCAGTCAGTACCCTGAAGGGAGAACAGGAGATAAAGACCCTTGTACTATACTCCCCAAAGAATACATTTTACACATATATGATATATATATCCCTGATATAAAAATATGTCTACCTGGTATTAAGGACTCTTAAAGTTGGGAAGGTTATGGCTCACTAGCAAAGAGCACAGGCTTTGGAATCAGACAGATCCAGCCTTGAATTCTGGCTCTATCATTTACCAGCTGGGCCTCAGACAAAGGACTGAGCATCTCCAAGCTTCAGGTTCCTCGTCTGCAACTGGGAAGAATAAAGCCCATCTCAGATGATTTTTTAAAGGGGGACAGTAACTAGAATTTGCCTCAGCCATTCATCAAGTCAGTGACAAGATCAAAGACATCAAGGTCTCTCCTAATCTTGTTCTTTATGGCTACCAGTTTAAGCTACCTCTCTTTTCTATTTGAAAAAAAAAAAAAGTTTTTAACATAATCATGTTTGTTTTTCTCCAGCAAGCCTCTTTAGGCTTTACACAGAATTTCAAAATATCAGAATTGGAAGGGCTTAGATATCGTAGAATCCAACTCCATTTTCCAGAGATGAGCAAACTGATCTTTAGAGTGGGTATTTTGCCAAGGTCACAAGATGAGGTAAAACTGACAATTGATCAGAGTATTACAGACTTCCAGCCTGAGGCCAATTCTATGGGACTACATTCGATTCATCTGCCTGTCTTTGTTCAGTAACTTCTTTTCCCTGCAGCTGAGGTAAGTAGATCAACTTCCCATCCTCTGACCATGAACATCTAAAGAGGCATAACTTTGATAAAGTATTTTAAGTTGGTCCATGGGGATGTAGCAAAGATTAACGTGTGATGAATAAATCAAAGTTTGCAAAGCACCTATCAGCTTCTCAAAGAAAAGGTGAGGTATAAAAGTAATACAAGCACTATTATTATATAGAAAGGTCAGACTACAACAGAAGAAATAATCTGGGAACATCTCAGCATCAGTGTTATCAGCAAAGGTCCTGTAACTTATCTTTTAATTCACATTAACATGGCATTTGAAGATCTCACCTTCCAATCAGCTAATTTGGAAAAAAATTAAGAGTGTGGCTTTCGGAACTGCTTTGTTTTAATTAATTTTATTCTTTATTAATTTAAAATGAGGAGTTTCAATTTCTCTACAAGTGCTTAAAACACAAAGGGTTAGCTTATTCTCTGGAGAATTCTTTTAAAATGGGCATGTTGCTATTTATAAGAAGCAGGAACTTAATATCAAGATTGCAAAAATAAGGTGACCTAATTAGTATCTTAGCACCTTTATATCTAAACTTAAAATACCTCAACTTTTGGTGCAATGAGTTCCACCCTTTCCATAATGACAACTGTACTGCAGTTCTACAAGACTTACCTCTTACTATTGCTTTGAGGTGGCAGGGTTTTAGCTTCCTGGCAGTCATCACATCATGGAGAGCAGAACGAAAATTGCCTAACAAAATGCCATTTAATAAAAAAGAGAACAAATTTTGAGATCAGAATGTTCCCAAAATTTTGTGTATAGTGACAAAGACACTATTGTACAATTCTGGAGAGATATAAATCAGGGCAACTGTTTTTAAAAAACATAGTTGTACTCATCAAGAGCCTTAAAAACATTTATAACATCAGGCCATCCACGGACTACACATGGCTACCAGGCACATGAAAAAAATGCTCAACCTCACTAACGACTACAAAAATGAAAATAGGAAATCGGTAAAAATTAAAGACAGATAATATCCATTATTGGAGAAGGTATGAAAAATAGGGCACTTTCAGGGTCAATTAGAGGCCCTTGCTTTAGCCTAAGTAATAGTCAGAATTGTTGGTAACAATTTATGACTAACTTTGTTCATTTTTGCATTATCTGAAAAACCTAAAAATAGCCTATCTGCTCAGTAAGAGTGGAACAGTAAAGCAAATAGTGTAAACAGAGGTATATGATGTAACTTCATGTAGCTATTAAAATAGCATTCGAAAATAATGTTTAATGACAGGTAAAATTTCTTATGTTATAAAATTAAGTAAAAAAAAAACCTGAATACAAAATCGCACATACACATGTAGAAACTGTTGAATTGGTTAATGTTTTGTTGTGTATATTTGTACCACAATAAAATAATCGCACACACATTTATACATAAAAAAACAACTGTGTAAACAGCATGACCTTAACTACGGGAAAAATTGCATACAAAAGATCCAAGGACTTCTGGTTAAAGGTGATAGACTGCTTAACTCAGCTCCCTCCCAAAAACCCCACTTAAAAACAAAAAGCTATAAACCCACAGAGAGAAAAAGAATGAGAAGAACACAGAACAAATTTTGAAAGCTGGAAAGTAACGGGACAAGGACTGACTCATCTGGCCTGAAAAAAACGAATTCTAAGCCAACAGAAGGAAAGCCAAAAAGCCACCAAGTTGAACTGCAGAACCTCCAAGACTCAGGAATTGATGGCACCAGGGATCTCTGGAAATGGGGGGGAAGGTGGTTGAAATCTATTTAAGAAGCAGTCAGATACCCATATTCCTTACCCACCTCCTGTGGCGGGGACCTACCCCCCCCCTTGCTGGTGGAAGACCGATGGTTTAGTCTATATAAACAATAAAACAGAAGGTCTCTGGACAGAGAGCACTAGGCATAGTGGTGATTCAGGGAAAGTACATTCTAAATATTGAGCCCTTAGCCCGATTCCCCTACTTGGTTCTCAAAACACCAGCAGCTAGGATTTCTAAAATGAGAAAACAGAATAAATAGAAAGAAGGAAAATATGAAATAATTCAAGAAAATTTCTTGAAACAACTTTCTAGACAGAAGGAGCTCACTGAATACACAACACACAGGATCCATATGAAGGCACATTGTTACGAAACTTTAGCACACTGGGGATGTACAGAAAATTCTAGAACCTTCTAAAGAAAAACAAAACAGAACACCATTCAAAGGATCAGGAATTGGAATAATTTTGGACTTCTCAGCAACAATACTATTGAGTATTGTTAGAAGACAATGAAGAAATGTAAATTTTGAGGGAAAATGATTCCCAATCTGGAATTCTACACCTGTCCGAATTATTGATTAAGTGTGAGACTAAAATAAAGGTATTTTCAGACATACAAGGTTTCAAAAAATTTACGTCTAATGCCTCCTTTATCAAGGAGCTACTAAAGAATGTGTTCCATCAAAACACGGGAGTAAACCAAGAAAGAAAAATTGTGAGATCCAGGAAACTGGGATCAAACACAAAAGAGGCAAATGGACTCCCCAGAAAAAGGTGAAGAGAGATTCCAAGACAACAGCTGTGCACTAAACACAAAGAGTAACCAGTCCAGACCAAGGTCAGAAGACTTCCAGGGAGGTGTTACCAAGAAGGTAAAATGGATACCACACCTGATGGGGAGTGGAATTAGAAATACGGGGAGAACACATCAATGAATTAGTGTTAAGTACAATGAAAACCAAGTAAACATAATAATCAAGACAGTTATTAACTGAAGGAAAAACAAAGTTTCATTAAAAAAAGAAAAATTATAATATTCAACATCGTTGTGAATAACATCTGCAGAGTAATGCAAACATTACATAACATTGTAAAGACTGACTACCGAACTCAAATCACATATACATTTGAGGACAGGGAGATAGGACGTGTGTGGACATGTGGTGGCAGTGGTGAATAATCACCTTCCATAGCAGGAATCAGCAGATAATGCCTAAAACTGAAAGATTAAAGTAGTAGTAATATAAGCATGTTATTCAGTAATATGGAGATACATATGAAAAGAAACAGCTGTAAGTTGGAAGTGGTTGCCTCTAAGGGGCATAAAATGATAGAAGAGGCAGTCAAGGGACTGATACATTTCGTAACAAGCTTTAAAGAACTATCTGACTGTTTCAATTACATTTAAAAACAAACAAACAAACAAACCCGTTGTCGTCAAGTCGATTCTGACTCATAGCGACCCTACAGCACAGAGCAGAACTGCCCCATAGGGTTTCCAAGGAGCACTTGGTGGATTCGAACTGCTGTCCTTTTGGTTAGCAGCCATAGCTCTTAACCACTACGCCACCAGGGTTTCCACATGTATATATAAATGTGATAAAAATCAAGACTAAATTTAAATAAATAAGACTAGTAGGATATATATCCAATGTTCACAGTAGTTACATGCTTGTGGGATTATGGTTTTACTTTTCTTTTTACCTTTCCTGTATTTTTCAAAGTTGCTACAATAAATATGTATTACTTTAAAAAAAAAAAAAATTACTAAGACTCTCCTATTTCCAAATCAGCAAGTGACAGTACTAGATTTTGAAAGCAGACATCTGTCCACATGAACTCACAGTTCAGCATGCTGCACAGGTAATAGGAAAAACTCCATCCAGAGTAGCCAAGACACACTGTTCAGTTTTTTGGAAATACTTGCAATACTCATCTAGGGTGCAAAATTGCTGACCAACAATTATTTGTCTTTATTTTTCTGCTCTACTTATTTTTCTCTTGGATTTATTCTCCAGACACTCATGATACTACTCCTTCCAGGTTCTCTTCATCTCTCCCTGATCTATTTTGGAGCCACTTCATCTACCAGTCCCCTGTTTGATTCCTGAAGTTTCTTCCTCAGACACTTATTCTATTATACATCCTCCTTGGGGGATTTCTGTCCACTCTTAGCTCTCACCGGCTACCTTCATGCTCATGACTATGAGTATAAATCTATGAGTAAAAATCTCACGTCAGTGTGCCCAACTGCTTTCCAAACTTCTCCACCTGGATGTCTCACAGGTATCTCAAATGTGACATGCCCCAAAGTAAACTTACTATCTCTCCCCATAACCCACTTCCTAAAATCTACTTTTCTCTAGACTACCTATTTCAAGTGGTGGTATTACTATCTTCCCACTTACCCTAGCTAGAATAATCATCCAAATAATCAGTTATTTCCCAAAGTCCCATCAGCAGAACAGCCCTGTATCATGTTAGTGTTACTTGAAAGGGGGCACAAAACTTGAGAAAGACAGGATAAGACTGTTCACTGTAGGTCATCTCAAGAGTTTTTAACATGCTGACAAAGAAGCAACAATTTCCAAACTTGCCATGGAATTGTTTTTACTCCAAGGGTTCCACAGAATACTCCCTGAGAAATCCTCCTTTAGATTAATACAGCTTCTCTCACTCAAGGACATGTATTGCCTAATCCTTCCAGAATCCCTGAGAAGATGGTAAAAGGCCACAAAAAATTTTTGTTTGAGATTAAAAAAATCTCAGATCATAGCAGCTCAAATACCATACCAGAGTTACTATACTGGGTTGAATTGCTGTTGTTGTTAGGTGCCATCGAGTCAATTCCAACTCATAGCAATGCCGTGTACAACAGAACAAAACAGTGCCCTGCCTAGTCCTGCCCCATCCTCATAATCGCTGCTATGTTTGAGCCCACTATTGCAGCCACGCTGTCAATCCATCTCGTTGAGGGTCTTCCTCTTTTTTGCTGACCCTCTACTTTACAAAGCATGATTTCCTTCTCCAGGGACTGGTCCCTCCTGATAAGATGTCCAAAGTACACAAGACGAAGGCTCACCATCCTCACTTAAAGGAGCATTCTAGCTATACTTCTTCCAAGACAGATTTGTTTGTTCTTCTGGCAGTCCATGATATATTCAATATTTTTTGCCAACACCGTAACTCAAAGGCATCAATTCTTCTTCAGTCTTCCTTATTCATTGTCCTGCTATCGAATGCATATGAGGCAACTAAAAACAGCATGACTTGGGTCAGGCATACCTTAGTCCTCAAACTGATATATTTGCTTTTTAACACTTCAAAGAGGTCTTTTGCAGCATATCTGCCCAATGCAATATGCTCCCAAATATTTACATCCCCCCAAAATTTATGCCCACCAGGAACCTTAGAATGTGACCATTTTGAAATAGGGTCTTTGTAGATGTAATCAGTTAAGATGAAGTCATGCAAGATTAGAGTGGGCTCTAAATCCAATGAATGGTGTCCGATAAGGCCATGTGAGGACACCACAGACACACAAGGGAGAGAACATATGAAAACAGAGGCAAAGATTGCAGTGATGTAGCTACAAGCCAAGGAATGCCAAGATTGTCGGCAGCCACCAGAAGTTAGGAGACGTAAGAAAGGATTCTTCCCTAGAGCCTTCGGAGGGAGCATGGTCACGCTAACATTTCGATTTTGGACTTTTAACCTCCAGAACTACGAGAGAATAAATGTCTGTTGTTTTAAGCCACTGAGTTTGTGGGACTCTATTACAGCAGCCCTATGAAAGTAATACAGCTACTAAGCCACTTATGTGGTTCAGATAGTTAAGAATTATGAAACCCATCTGGTTTGCCTTTTCACTATGTCTACCAGGAAGATCAGAGCTCAGTTAACACAAACTATCCTTAGTCTAGTTTTCTAGGATAAACTGCCCCTCTTCCTCTGACTCTCTCAAACCCTCCAGTAGCCATTGTAAAGCCTTTTATCATAAACTAATTCTTTAGAAAGCATTAAATAATAAATTACCTAGGTAGTACTGTGCTGCTGCCCGGTTGGTATAAAGGACAACATTCAAATCAGGGTCTGCACATTTCTTCTTTAATCCTTCAGTGTAGGAAATCACAGCTTTCTTATAGTCTTTTTCTTTAAAGTAATCGTTGCCCTCATCTTTATAGGTCTTGGCCTGTTCTGAAAGAAAAGGAAAAATGATCACTAGTTCCTAATTTTTCAAAGGCTCATTAAAAATAAATCATGCAATAATCTAATATATGATAAACCAAACAGAAGCAGCCCATAGGGAAAGAAAATACAAATATAAAGCTATAAGAAAACTGAAGATCAACATGGAGAAATAAAGTCATGCATACTTAATGCTACAATCAATTCCAAATATCTTATAAGGTAGATTACAAAGCGCTTACCAAAAGAAAAAAATATAATTATCCTAGCTTTTGGAGAAAGGCTTTTTTCTTTTAAATTGCTGAAGAAACAGGGTGAAATTACACTTTTGCTTTTGCTTATTGTTTTCATTCCCTGGAATGCAGATTCCCTTCCTCACTCTGATAAGAGCCTACAAAATTTGTAAGACTCGGCTTAAAGTGCCAATCAATCCACTGTGAGCTCACTCCTGCCCGTTCAGCATTCCCAGAGCTAGTACAGTAAAACCTGTGAAAGCTGGAACCTGTGTAAGGCGGCAACTGTCAGAGATGGAAAACGCAAATATTCTCCACTGAACTAGAGACAGAGAAGTGGTGAGATGGCACCCTGTCAAAGGTGGAAAACTTGGGAGACCCAGAAACAAGGCAGTCTCGTCAAGTTCTACTTCTCACAGGTTCCACTGTACACAGCCGCATATTGACACACACATCTGTCCTGATTTTTTTAGCACAATTTGGCTACCCACTGGAGTGTGACCTCTGAGAGCAGAAACTGTTGTATTTACCTTTGTCTCCCCAACACACAGCATTTAGTAGGAATCCAAAGAAGTACATGAAATGAATAGTCACCAGGACACTCGCATGCTAACTACTTCTTGTTATCCATCAGAAACTTTCTAACTCACATCTTACCTCAATTCAATGCAAACACAAAATAAATGTTAAGAGTCATGTAAGATACCTTCTGCAGATCGCTCGTCATCAAAAATAATTGACTGGAGGCAAGCCAAGTCAGGATTCTCTTTCGGATCAATTTCTGATGGTGCTTTCTTCATAAATAGGGGGATCTTTTCAAATTCCTGGAGATTGTTAAGAATGAACTATATGAATAAAGTTTTCCACTGGGTAGATCCAATTCCATGACTCTGTATCAAAATTGCCTTACTCATCACGATTTGCTGTATTGCCCCCTCATTCGGGCCTCAGTTTCCCCTCTGTAAAATGAGAGTATAGGATACTGATCTCTAAAGAGTCTTTCAGTTCTCATTCTACAACAGTGGTAGTAATACCATTCATTGAGCCCTTCTATGTGCCAGATACTTAACCCACCATCTCATTTAATCTTCACCACACCCCTACAAGGTTGCAGCTATCGTTAACGCAATTTTACAGGTGAAGACGCAGAAAGAGAGAAGTTAAATAACTGACTCAGTATCAGAGGCAATAAGTAGTGGAGGCACAAGTCCGCCTGATTCCAAAACTCGGATTCTTAAATGTACTGACAGCTAAAGAAGACTCTCAAAACCTCAAGGCCGATTTTTCACACTCAATTAGAAACTCTACCGCCCATCCGCTCGCAGACCCAGTGATCTGAAGGGTGAGGTAGACGTCCCTGTGCGTAGGAGCCCCAAATAGTCGGACGACATCCCCACACACGTGAGGGGCCCCGGGACCGCCCACCTCCTCCCACTGGTCCTCGTGGAAGCCGCCCCGGTAAGGCTGGCTCTGGAACTTTTCCAGGAACGAGTCCATGGCGTCGTCGGAGACAGCGTCCACCCCAAGTCGCTCCATGGCAGCTCTCCGGTACCGGTGCGGGCGACGCGAAGCTCCTTCCGGCAGCGCCAGCGCTCTACCCTCAATCCTCCGGGCAGAGCGGACCCGCGCCATCTCGGGTTCCGCCGGGCTAGGGCGGGCCAATCCGGCTCCACCCCTTCTTTGGCCAAACTCTTTGCCCACCTTTCCCTTCTTTCGGGAGTACCTACCCACCCCCTCCGCGGGCCGCTACTACTTTTAGGGTGATGGGTAAGCCCAAAACCCTATAGTGCCGCCACCTGACCCATCATTCCATTGCTTTATAAAATTAGCCCATATTTACTAAACTCCTTCTATGTTTCAGGCCGTGTTCTAGTCTCTGGGTATACAAAAGATCCCAGATAAATCCTAGATAAAATCCCTGCTCTCTAGGAGGTTGTAAATTAGTGGCGATACATAGACAAAGAAGACGTAAGAGTTTGTCAGGTGGCGGCAAGAGCTATTGAAAAATTTTAAAAGGGTGATCAGGGTAGTCCTTACTGGGGACATGGTATTCAAGCAAAGACTTGACAGAGGCCTGGGAGTGACAAGGCACATGTCTAGAGAAGATCATTCTTGAGAGAGGGAACAGACAGTTCAGGGCTCTGAGACAGGAGTGGAGGGGGGTGGCATAGGAGAAGGGGTGTTTGTAGAACATGAAGAAGGCTAGGGTGGCTGGAGCCAATGAGGAAGGGGCTGAGTAGTAGGTGAGATAGAAGGGTAAAGGGGCCATGAGGAGCCTAACACCACTGTCTAGATTTTGGCTTTTCCTCAGAGTGTGATGGGACCTGTTGGACAGTTTTGAGAAAAGGAAATCAAGTATGTCTATTTCTGAGTTTGACACCACCCTCGCCAACAGCTGGGATGGAAATAGGATTTCTAGTCCAGATGAGGCAGGCCTAGTGTGCCTTCCTGCAGCCAGTTACTCAGCAAATGGCTGCCAGGCCTTGCACTGGGTGCTGCAAACCTAGGGAAGCTCACAGCCTGGTCTAGAAGGAAAGACAGACAGGCAGCGCACCAGTCTAAACAAGAACTGGGTTGCAAGTCTGCACAGTGGAGGCACAGAGGGGTCGTTGTTACCTAGGAGATTCCTGGAGGTTTCACAGAGGAGGTGATGCCGGAGCTGAGAGCAGAAATGAGGAAGATCTCTGTAGATGGATGGGGCTTGAGAGAGGTTGGGTATCTAGGCAGTGGAAGCCTGTGTGTAGAGTCATGGAGGTGTGCAATAACTTGGCATACTGGGTATTGCAAGAGTTAAGAGGTAAGCCCAGCGAAGTGGGCAGGGGCCAGTGGACCTGAGAACCCTCTTGTCCTTTATCCTGCAGAAGGTAGTGAGCCACGGAAGAGATCTCAAGGGAGGAAGGACCATGGACAAATTTGTCTTAGGAAGGCCTGGGCTTCCAGGAGAGCAAGGATTAAGGTGAGGAAGCTGAGTTAAGTGATCGGCAAAGAGGCTATTGGCGAGAGACCAGAAGAGAGGAGACCTGAAGCCTGGCCACAGAGAAGGTGGAGTTGGCTGGCATGGTCATTATTTGACATGGGATGAGGACTAAGGATGATACATGGAGAGCCATGAGCCTTCCAGGGCCAGGACTGTGTCTTTTCTAAAGTGCCCACCTCTAGCAGAGCACCTGGTGTTCTGCTCCCTTTCCTCCGAAGCCAAACCTCATTTTCCACACTTCCTTCTCCAGCCCTGCTCCCTAAGCCTGGTTCCCTTCCTTAGTCTCTTCATTATCATTTCCCGTCTTGAGTACAGAGCTTACAAAGTCCTTCTGTCCCCATTTTCTCATCTGATTCTTATAAGAACCTTGAGAAGTAAGAACAGATAATGATAAGGGAGGCTCAGAGAGGGCAAGTGACTTGCCCAGTGTTCTTTGCACCCTCCAACTCAAAATTAATTTAGGGGCTGTCTTAGTCTCCTATGGAGCCCTGGTGGCACAGTGGTTAAAGCACTTGGCCGCTAACCAAAAGGTTGACAGTTCAAACCCACAAGCTGCTCTGCGGGAGAAAGATGTGCCAGTCTGCTTCCATAAAGATTAACCAAACCCAAAACCAAACCCATTGCCGTCGAGTTGATTCCAACTTACAGTGACCCCATAGGACAGAGTAGAACTGCCCCATAGGGTTTCCAAGGAGCAGCTGGTGGAGTCTAACTGCCAACCTTTTGGTTAGCAGCTGAGCTCTTAACCACTGCTCCATCAGGACTCCCCATAAAGATTACAGCCTTGGAAACTCTATGAGGCAGTTCTGCTCTGTGCTACAGGATCGCTATGAGTTGGAATCGACTTGCTGGCAACGGGTTTGGTTTTTTTATTAGTCTCCTAGGACTGCCATAACAAAATACCATAAGGTGGGTGGCTTTAAAGAACAGAAATTTATTGTCTCACAGTTCTGGAGGCTAGTAATCCAAATCAGGGTATTGGCCATGTCAGCTCCTTCTGAGGGCTCGTATACTTGATTGATCTAAGAAGCACATTCCTCACGCGTGTTATTGTTTGTTTTATAGGCCTGTCTAATCTTTGGCTCAAAGGTGAGCTTTGGGAGTGGCTCCAGTTCTGAGTTAGTGGGGTGTCCAGAGGCCAAAGTCTTGGGGGGTTCCTCCAGTCTCTGTCAGACAAGTAAGTCTGGTCTTTTTTGTGAATTTGAATTTTTTTCTACATTTTTCTCCTACTCTGTCTGGGACCCTCTATTGTGATCACTGTCAAAGCAGTAGGTGGTGGCACCATCTAGTTCTTCTGGGCTCAGGTTGGACTAATATTTTCTTTGTGTCTTTGGTTGTTTTCATTCTCCTTTGCTCTGGACAGGATGACCAATACATGTATCTCAGATGGCTACTTGCAAGCTTTGAAGACCCCAGATGCTACTCACCAAAATAAGATGTAGAACATTTACTTTATGAACTTCGTTATGCCAGTTGACCTAGATGTCCCCTGAAACCATTGTCCCCAGCCCTCAATCCCAGTAATTCAGTCTCTCAAGGTGTTTGGATGTGTCTAGGAAGCTTCTATGACTGTGCCCACTTTGTGCCCTATTATATATACAAATATACATACTGTACATACAAATATGTATGTATAAATATTCACAGCCTAACCTATACATATAGGTGGCTATACTGCTATACGCTCTCCTTCCCCTATGTAGTATATGTTTCTGCCTATATATCTGTTTGTAAGTTATTGTTTTTACTGTTGTTATAGGGCTGTATATGCTATAGAATTTACTGTGGTTGCCTCTTTTGTTTTTTTTCTCCCGCGTTCCTCTAAGTGTCTTCCTTTGCCTTGGTCGAGTTGTGCTCACTTCCTCTATGTTGTGTATTGTCTTTCCCTTCACCAAGTTAACACTTGTCTACTATCTAGTTAGTGATTTTCCCTCCCCACCACTCCCCTCCCTTGTAACCATCAAAGATTCTTTTTCTTTCTGTGTATAAACCTTTTCTTAATTTTTTATAATAGTGGTCTCAGACAATACTTGTCCTTTTGTGATTGACATATTTCACTCAATATAATGCCCTCCAGATTCATCCATGTTGTGAGAGGCGTCACAGATTCATCATTGTTCTTTATCTTTGCGTAGTATTCCATTGTATGTACCATAATTTGTTTATCCATTCATCTGCTGATGGACACTTAGGCTGTTTCCATGTTTTTGCTATTATGAATAATGCTGGAGTGAACATGGGTTTGCATATGTCTGTGTGATGGTTCTTATTTCTCTAGGATAGATTCCTAGGAGTGGGATTGCTGGATCATATGGTATTTCTATTTCTAGCTTTTTAAGGAAGTACCGTATCATTTTCTATAGTGGTTGTACCATTTTATATTCTCACCAGCAGTGTATGAGAGTTCTAATCTTCCCACAACTTCGCCAGCATTTATTGTTTTCTGAATTTTTGATCAGTAGCATTCTTGCAGGGGTGAGATGGTATGTCACTGTTGTTTTGATTTGCATCTCTAATGGTTAATGATTTCGAGCATCTTTTCAGGTATTTGTTGGCTGCCTGAATGTCCTCTTTGGTGAAGTGCCTGTTCATGTCCTTTGCCCATTTTGTAACTGGGTCACTTGTCTTTTTATTGTTTTGTTGAAGTTTTCTGTATATTTTAGAGATTAAACCTTTATCAGATATGTTGTTGCCAAAGATTTTTTCCCAGTCTGTAGGTTCTCTTTTTACTCTCTTGGAAAAGTCTTTCGGTCAGAAGTATTTAATTTTTAGGAGGTCTCAGTTTTCTAGTTTATCTTCTGGAGTTTGTGCATTTTTAGTTGTTTGATATTCTATTTCTGCCATAAGTTAGGACACCTAGTGTTGTCCCTATGTTTTCTTTCATGAACTTCATAGTTTTAGGTTTTACATTTAGATCTTTGATCCATTTTGAGTTAGTTTTTGTGTATGGGGTGAGGTATGGATCCTGTTTAGTTTTTCTAAAAATGGATATTCAGTTTTGCCAGCACCATTTGTTGAAGAGACTATCTCTTCCCCATTTAATGGACTTCGACCCTTTGTTGAAGATCAGGTAGGTGTCCATAGAGGGTGGATTTATTTCTGGGTTCTCAATTCTGCTCCATTGGTCTATGTATCTGTCGTTATACCAGTACTAGGATGTTTTGACTACCATAGCTGTATAGTAGGTTCTGAGATTGGGTATTGCGAGGCCTCCTACTTTGTTATTCTTTTTCAATAATGTGTTACTTATATGGGGACTCTTTCCATATAAAATTGGTGATTAGTTTTTCCACTTCATTAAAGAATGTTGTTGGAATTTGGATGAGGATTGCATTGTATCTATAGATTGCTTTGGGTAGCATTGACATTTTCACAATGTTAGGTCTTCCTATCCGTGAGTATGGTATGTTTTTCCATTTATGAAGGTCTCTTTTGGTTTCTTGCAGTAGTGTGTTGTAGTTTTCTTTATGTAAATCTTTTACATCCCTGGTTATTTTTATCCCACCATGCCTTCTTGCTGCTCTCTGGACGAAGTCTACCCCCCTTAATACAGCTGCCATGGTGTGGTGACCCGGCCCTGGCCCTCCTTTCCCCTTCCACTCCAGGCTCCAGTGCACACGCAGTTGGTCCTTGTGCCCAAGTGAGCCCTGCTCTTCCCCACATATGCCCACTGTCTTGGTTACCTAGAGCTGCCATAACAAAAATACCACAAATATGTCACTTTAAAGAACATAAATTTATTTTCTTGCAGTTCTGGAGGCTAGAAGTCTGAATTCAGGGTGTGTTTCTAGGCGGATGTTCTTTTTTGGCTATTTCAGCATCTAGTTGCTGCTGGCAATCCTTGGAGTTCCTTGGCTTTTCTTGATGTCTGTCTTCCCTATGTGTGTCTATTCTGCTCTTTTTATAAGTCAGAATTGATTAGGTTTAGGACCCACCCTACTCTGGTATGATACTTTATTAACATAACAAATAAAGCTCCTATTTCCAAACACAGTTATATTTATAGGTGTAGGGGTTAGAATTTCAACACATAGTTTTAGGGGGAGGTCCCTTCTCTGGAAAGCCTTCCCTGCACCCTAGACCCCAGCTGGGCTACGTACCTCCACTGGACTCCACAACCCCGTGCCTCCCCTCATCACTGCACTGACCTTCTGTGCTGTTTGTGTCTTGTCTTGGCACTATTGACATTTGGGGCTGGATAATTTTTTGTTGTGGGGTGTGTCCTGTGCATAGTAGGATGTGTAGCAGCATCCTTGACCTCTACACACCAGATGCAAACAGCAACTCCCCCGCCCCAGTTGTAACAACCAAAAATGTCTCCAGACATTGTCAAGTATTCCCCGGGGGTAAAGATGACCCCCCCCCCCTTGGTTCTGAACCAGTGCATTAGGCTATGAACTTGGGGCCCAGGGCTGGGTCTCCTTCATGTCTGTATCACTAGAACCAAGAGAACACCTGGCCCAGGGTAGGTACTCAGTGAATGTTGCCCAAATGAGTTGTGGCCAATCTCTGGGCAAAGACCTGAGGGTGGGACTCAGAGATCAGGGTGCTGGGATACACATGATGTCATGGGGTGGGGAGGGGCACTCTTCTTTCCCTTCCCTTCCCCCAAAGCTCACCCAAATAATCATCTCCTTTTGTTTTTATAATCGCCTTGTGGGGGAAACGGAGGACTGAGACACTCAGCTGACTTACTGTGTGGCCGTGGGCCAGCCACTTCACCTGAGCCTCAGCTGCCCCACTTATAAAAGGTGGACAAACAGCCTACATGAGCCAGTGAGTGCTGACTGAGTCAATGAACGAAGGCCATGCTCATCTCAAAGTGATAATGGGAAAAGGCTCTGCCCTCCTGCCAGCCTGGCTGGGCCCAGACCGCTCCCATGAGGAACACTCAGGAGGGAGAGGTAAGCCACATGGCATTTATAGGGAGCAGGCTAGGGCCACGGCCACCCCTGAGAAGGGCCGGGGGCTCAGGGATGTCACTGCTTCAGGGACATCTTCCAGGAGCCCAGTGCCTGCATGATCCAGGACCGCCGTTGGTGGGAAGTGGGCAGGTTCTCGCAGCTGGGGCTCCAGCGGTGTGTGGTGGCCGGGTCGCACACCCATGAGTCCCCATGTGGCAGTGGCCAGGAGTTCCTCCAGCAGCTGGCCAGGATGTGGTCCTGGGCCTGGGCTGCACAGATGCACACTGATGCTTCTAGGTCATGTCTCAAGTTTTCCAGAGCTGGGTCATAGAGAGAGGAGAGACAACTTGTTAAGACCAGGTCCCCACATGGGTCTCCTTGGGTGCAAAACCCTGCTCACACCTCATCTTTCTTTCCCACCTATGACAATTCCCTTTGCTCAGCATCCCCTTGTCTCACCTTCCTTCACATCTCTTCAAATTATTCAGCTATTTTTAAGTCTGAATCAAAACCTGCCTCCTCCAGGAACCCTTGCTAGACTACTCCAGCCTACCTTGACGCCCCCATTGGCTTCCCCAGTTATATAATGCAGACCATGGTGGCCATGATCCCCCTTAAGAGTCTGAACTACTCTCTCTGCACTAGATGGCTTTTAGTCTCATTTTCTGAGCCACATTATCTCAACTAGATTGTCAGCTCCCCTAGGGTGGGGCTACGTGTTCTCTGTTGTGGTACCTACCATAGTGCTCACCCTGGATAAAGACTAGCACAACTGAACTGAGCTGAAGACTCTTGCCTTGGGACATAACCCTCCCCTCTCCCTATCACTTGCTGTGGTCCTACTCACTCACTCTGCCCCCTGAAATCGCATCAGCCCCAGGCACGACTCACCGGCTTTAACTTCATTCAGACAATCTTCTGTCATTATGCTCTCCATACAGGGGACCAGGGACCCTTGAGCATAATCCAAGAGGTAAGTGTTCCCACTTCCTGCCTCCAACCCCCACCATCACCCCACTCTCAGACCAGACCTCCTCACAGAAACTCCCCCCACCATCCCCCAACCCACAAATGAGAACTTGAAAGAAGGACTTTATTTTGACCCTGAGGCTGATTCCCCAAGAGGGGTCGTGGGAGAGGTGGCTGGCCCAGCGCAAGGATGGCACGAGGGCAGGGACAGGATCTGGGCTGCAGCTGACTTGGACCCACGGTGCGGCCTTCAGCTGGTCTTTTACCCAGGCTGGCCCTCAGTTTCCTCATCTGTGATGTGGAGAGATACTGTTCTGCTGACCACTCGCTAGGGAGCTTGAGCGGCAATAACATGAAAGGCCCAAGGGGCTTTAGACGCTGAGTGCCTTGAACCTGTCAGGGGTAGCCATGAGCAGGGTCCTTGGAGGGGCAGAGATTGAGGTGTGCTGGGTCAAGGAACCTGTTTCTTTAAAACAGACTCAGCTCTGCACACTCTGCTCCTCATGAGTCCTCAGCAGACACATTACTCAGCCCCCAGCTCATCCAAGCCCAGAGCCTGGCTCCTGAGGTGCCTGCAGGCCCTTGAATGAGCTGTACCACCTCTCATGGCTCAACACCTTTGCCCATGCTGTTCCATTGCCTGGAAGGTCCTTCCCTCCCTTCTTTAGCTGGCTAATTCCTATGTGTCCTTGAATACTCAGCTTAACAAGTGGTTCCTCCAGGAAGTCCTTCTTGACCAATCCCTTCACCCCCAGGCTGGATTAGATGCCTCTCTGGGTTCCCAGAGTATCTGTGAGTTTTTATCAGTATATACTGTGTTCCATTCTATTTGTGATTTATGACTCTTTACCTTTTTTTTTTCCAGGAAGAAAGGTGTGGCAATCTACTTCTGAAAATTAGCCAGTGAAAACCTTATGGATCACAACAGAACATTGTCCAACTCCCTTGCTTTGGACACCTCATCAGGAGGGATCAATCACTGGAGGAGGACATCATGTTTGGTGAAGTAGAGGGCCAGCGAGGGCAAGGAAGACCCTTGGTGAGATGGATTGGCACAATTGCCACAATGATGGACTCACACATGCTGGCGATTGTGAGGATGACGCAGGGCAGCATTTCATTCTGTTGTACATAAGGTCGCCACGAGTCGGCATCAACTAGACAGCACCTAACAGTGTCAATAACAGCATCTCCCCCCAGACCAGGGGTTTCTTAATCTTAGATCCACTGGATGGGTAGGGAGTGTCTCTGAGCATCCTAAAGTTACATGCAAAATTGTAAATTGTATGCATATATGCATTTTTCTGGAGAAAGTGTTCATAACTTGCTTTAAAGTCTCACAAAAGATTTGTAACCTCAGAAAAGTTAAGAATCACTGCGTTATGCTGGGAGCTCAGCTTCATTTCCCCAACACAGGCCCTGGCACAGGGAAGACTCCTCAGACGTTAAACAAATAGGTCACGAACTACCATTTTTAGAAGTGATTCATTTGGAGCAAGATTTAAAGAAATCGGCATCTAGGAACCAGATGTCACACTGTGCGGGAAGCTGACTCTGCGCAGCCCTTCACATTCAGCGGGCTACCCTCAGTCCTGGGCATCCCTCCTCTGTCCCAAGACTGATCTTGTTTTTCCTCTTTCCCCTACTCCCACCATCAGCATCACCTCCTGAAGAGTTCTTTGTTTCCCTAGCACTAAGCATCATGCCTGACTCAGAGTGTTGTTAGTTGCTGTTGAGTTGATTCTGACTCATGAAGACCCCATGTGTTACAGAGTAGAACTGCTCCATATGGTTTTCTTGGCTGTAATCCTTATGGAAGCAGATGGCCAGGCCTTTCTTCTGTGGTGGCTGGGTGGGTTAAAGCCGACAACATTTGGGTTAGCAGTCAAGTGCAAGCCGTCTGCGCCACCCAGGGACCTTAGAGTAGGGATCAATAAATGTTTGTTAAATATGCCGATTAATGGATGGATCGATAAAAAACAAGCAAATGAATCAGGGAAAGGGAATAAGACAAACAAACATTGCTTTTAAAGGGGAGGAGGCTGGGAGCATCATCATCTCCAAGCCCCTTTGCAGCAGGGTCTCCTGGTCCTTGGTGAAGGGCATGTGGTTATTTTGGAGAGAATGGCTGGGAGGAGACCCATCCACTCAGCATGCCATCAGAAGGGTCCTGTGTGGGGATTCTGGGCAAGGGGAATCCGCTGTTTGTTCTTTCCCAGAAAAGCAAAGGTTGGGATTATGGGAAATAGAAGGATTACAGTGACTAACATTGATTGAACACTTTGATATGCCAGACCTCAAGGCTGGCACTTTTCAAAATATATTCTCATTCAGTCTGTCAAACAAGACTTGGTCCCCATCTTACAGATGAGGAAACTGAGGCTTAGTGGGAGTAAATGACTCAGCTGGGGCCACACAGAGAGGGGATGATGGAACTGAGATTCTATTTGACCTTTTCTACTGTGCAGCTTGGCCCTTCCTATTGAAGCCAATGGGGAATATGACTGGGCTTTTGTTAGATTTGGACCCATGCTATACTCTGGGGGAGAGCAGCAGTTCTGCTGTGCAGAGTTACCAAGGTTGTGGCCTGCACAAGGACTCCAGGTTGAATCCAGTCTACAGCTCTCTTCCCAAGATGCGATCTCAGAGGAGGGAGGACCTTTCTAATTTGCACCATGGTGCTGTCTGCTGGCCAACCCTTGTACCCAAGGGGAGGCATTCATTCAGGTGCCAGAAGGGCTGACAGCCTGGGAGGAAGCAAATCAGAGAGCAGGTAGGGCCCCGGCAGCAGGGGTTTTTACGCCAGGGCAGGTTACCTATGAACATGGCCGAGGACTTCCGGAGAGAGGCCCGAGAGTTCTTGGCATACTCCAGGCTCTGGCTGAGGAACTTGGAGGCACTGTCTCGGTGAGTGTTCACCTGGGTCAAAGAGAAACCCAAGAGTGCTGGGCCTTCAGAGGGACTAATTACTCACTCAGCCCTCCTGAAACTAGGAATGGTGACTCTGGCAGGCAGCCAAGCTCTGGTCTCCTGCCTGCTAAACATCTCTGCCACCCACCATCTGCCTGAGCCCTCTCAGAGGTGAAGCCTCTTCTCCTCTTAGCTGATTGCAACAATTGCTCCAATAGTCCTCCTGCCTTCAGTGTCTCCTCTTCCAATCTATCCCCCTGCTGCAGGCAGAGAGAAAGCTCTAATATGCAAATCCAGCCAGAGGTGGGGATGGACATGGCATGTGAGAGACGAATAGGTAAGGAGACAGGTCCAATCCGGATGAAAATTCAAGTTACTGGGCAATGAGAGGATAAACTGGATGGTTACAGGGTCTAAAAGGTGCTTTAAGCCAGGCAGGAATAGGGCTTACTTATACAGAGAAAACAGGAAGCCAGCATTCATTCTTGGTAGGGCAGTGACAAAGCAGTGTTTGGGGCAAAATAGTTTGAGAGTGGTATTCAGGATGGGTTTGATCAAGTAGAAACTGGGGGACAGGTGTCTAGCTAAGAGTTTGTTGAGGGAGATGAAGAAAAATCTGATCTGATCACTCTTCCATTGACAACTCCTCCTGTCAAGATGTAAACTCCTGGGCCTGGCATGCCAAGCCTTCATGATCGTGTTCTGCATCTAACATTCCTTCCCAGCCTCATCTTCCACCACTATCTCCTTCTTCTATACATGCTGTGTTCTAGTCCAAGGACATGGCCCAGCTATCCCCAGATAGGCCTGCTCCTTGGCGCCTCCGTGCTTTGTACAAGTGATTGCTCCTGTTTACAGCAACCTTCCTTCTCTTCTTCACCTGATAAATTCTCTCATCCTTTGAGGCTCAGCTCAGAAGCCACCTCCTCCCTGAAGGCATCCACAACCCTCAGGCAGAGCTTATCCCACCACCCTTGAGGTTTCTGCAGCATCTTGCACATCCTTTGTCATGGTAGCAACAGCATTGGGTTTTAGTTATTCATACCTGTCTCCCTCACTGGACCCCACAGCTCCCCAAGAGAAGGGGCTGTCTCACTCAGGGTCCTCAATACCCTGGGCAGGACCTAGCATGGAGCAGGTAATGAAGAAACTCAGATGTTAGATAAATCAATTAATTAATTAATGAAAAGGTTACCAACCCATTCTTAAAGCTAAGGCTAGAGGTTGACCTCAAACGAGAAATGCTGTTGATGGCCTGGAGCAAGAAGAGACTGAGAATCCAGAGGAGTCACAAGCCAGGCCTCTGCTCATGTGACTCCACAGGTGGCCTGCAGAGTTGTGACCAACGTAGTGTTAAATTCCCTGTTCATTAATGTCTTATGAAAATCTGGGTTTCCAAACTTACTGGACACATTGTGACTGGGGAACCCCTGAATCTATTGCCCTAAGATAATCCTTAAACTTGAACTTAAACCGATCTCGTGAAGTCATCTTTAAACTCAACAACAATTTAGCCCTACTAGTAAAGAATGTTTGCCTTGAGCAGTCCACTCTTTTGCAGAATTATCTACATGAAATCAAACTAACAAGAGTAACTCTAAAACACAGAGGAGAAGTTTAGGGGACACGGAGTCTACATTAATGGTGGTAAAACAATACAGGTAGAGACAGTGAGAATGGTGACACAAGGTTAAGAACGTAACCAATGTCATTGAACTGTACATGTAGAAAAATGTTGAATGGGTGTATGTTTTGTTATGTGTGTATTCACCAAAAAAAAAAAAATCTGGGTTTTTGGTTTTCTTTCAAACTGGAGGACCTGGCATGAGTAGCCTGCGGGGTGACAGTGAACTAGGGCTCTCCATTCCTGCTTTTGATGGGTCTGGGCTCTCCAGATTGCCCCAGACCCCACCACTTCCACTTCACTCATGCTCATTATCTCCCAATCACTGTAGGCATTTGAATTAGCGACCCTGGCCAGACACTTCTCCAGACCTCTTTTCCTCCTCTGTAAAATGATAGTAATACTGGACATTTGACCGTACAGGTTTTGAACGTTATCCATAATGGTGGTGCCAAGCCCTTGTCTGAATCATAGATGACAGTCTATTACTTTGTATATTTCTGGTGGATGCTGTGAGGCCCCACCCAGATCTCCCTTCAGCTATGAAGGATGTATTTCCCCAGTTTTGGGGATTGCCTTAGCTGAGGAGAACTGTCTTGCCCAAGGTCAAACCCCTTCCTGGGATGACAAGCATCCAGTGACAGATGGATATGGGATGTAAAGACCTGGGCCCTGGCTCCAATTTGAAGGACTCTCACATAGGGCTGGCTGAGACCTTCAATGAAACCACAGGGCAGCTCACCTTCTCCCTTGGCCAATCCTGCTTCCCTCCTTCCATTCCACAGGTTTTGATCCCAAGGACCCTCCCTAAGAAACCACCTGTTCGCTAACCTCTGTCCCAGAGTCAGCTTCCTGGGGAACCCAAACTGACATCAGCGAAGGTACACAGACTAAATGGCAAAGTTTCCCAAGGTTGTACTGAGGAACTGGGGCTATCTCCTGCAGGGTAGGAGTGTGCCACAAAGTGTTCACAGTTGTTACCTAGAAAGGGAGTTCTGTGGTTAAATAAGTTTGGGAAACCATGATTTATACAATAGTGAACACATTTCTTCGGTATAGGACCTCTCAGAGCCTTTAATGTGCAAATGTCATTCCAAATTTCCAAGAGGAACATGACTATGCAGTATTTCCCAAACTTATGTGCCTTGGAACTTCTTTCTTCCCCCTGTGAGGTATATCCTGTGGGACTGGTGTTACAGGAAATACATCCAGGGAATTGCTGCTGTAGAAAAGGAAGCTAACAAAGCTCTTTAAGCAGTGATATAATATAGCCAGACTAATGTTTTAACATATCTCTCTAGTGCCTGTGTGGGGATCGGGTTAGGGGGGTTGAGTTAAATTAAAGGCTGGGAGACTCATGGGATGGCTGGGAGACTCATGGGATAGCTGGACCCATGGACCACCTGAAAGATGTTCTTGGCCTGCACTAAAGCAATGGCAGTGGGAACTGAGAGGGAAAGACAGATTCAAGAGATATTTAGGATATTGAAGATTTCAGGATTGATCAAAAGTGGATGGGGAGGGAGATGAAGGAATCTAGGATGATTCTAGGTTTCTGCTTTGAGGATCCAGAGGGACAGAGCAGAAGTGAACTGGAAAACCGTTAAGTTCAGAGATATGCTGAGCGTGAAGTGCTTGTGGTTCATCCAGGGGGAGGTGTCCAGGAAGCCCCTGGAAAGGAAACACTAGAAATGGGGAGAGAAGTCAGAGATGGAGATAGACGTTCAGGAGCCAACGACTTGTAGGTGGTGATGGAAATCGTCAGACAGGATGCTTGTGTAACAAGAAGGAAAAGTAAAGAAACCTCCACCCCCAAATACTCGTAATCACCCGTTGTAGATCCAGGAAGCACTCACAAGGTACTTGCAGATTTTGGCCACTGTCTGTTGATGGTTGTCCCAGGGCTTCCGGCTGTAAGCTCTTTTTGGCAACTCCCAACCCATGAAGCAAGAACAGCGGAACAGGGTCTTCACACATTTCTGAGGACCAATAGAAATAGAATACCATAGCTGTGGAATTCCAGGACAACTGAACATGTTCCAGGAATTAAAAAAACGTGTGAAAACTGGATTTTGGAAAAGCAGCTCCTGTTTGAAATGTACAAGTGAAGCTGGCTGTTTTGGGGAGGTGGGTGCCTTTGGAAAAGACTCTTACAGGACATAAATAACTGCTCCCCAGTGGATTGTTTCTTGATCCTGACTTGGTTTCTGTAAAGAAAGGTGTACCTGCAGGTCCTGAGGGTGGGTAGAGGGCTCGGTGCCCCCGGCACACTCACCTGGCTCACCTTGGCATTGCCCTCTTGCATGACCAGCAATAGGGGCACCAAGGTGCCAATCAGCTGCTCCTCCATGGCCGGGGTACATGGGGACTGCAGCTTCTGGACCACCTTCCCGTACAGGTTGATGCACGAGCAGCGCACGTCCTCTCGCGACTGGGGTGAAAGGGAAGGCTCAGGGAGCGCCTCTCCTCTGGAAGGCTGCCCAGGCCTCTGTCCTTCTGTGCCTACCCAGAGCACCAGGGCCTTCTTTTCACTCATTCTGACGGGCGCTCCAAGCATAAAGGCACAGAGACAGCCAAGGCCACCCAGCAGGGCTGATCAGGTGCCAGCGTCCCCCTCCCCTGAACCTAAGTCTGGAGCTCTCCCCACTCTTCCAGCCAGGGCCTCCACTAACATAAAAGGTGCCTTAGTGCCCAGTGGAAAAACGTCCCCCTCTGCCGGGACCAATAAAAATCACGCACCCCCTCTAGATGGATCAATCACAATAAGGCGACCCTCTCTGAGGAGACTTGATTACAAAAGAAGCATGCCCTCTCAGAGGATCAGTTAGAGAAAGGAACCTTGTCTGGGCAAACCACTTAGAAAAAGGGACCTTCTCTGGGAGAACCAATTACAACAAGATGTGGACCATTTGGAGCAAGGTGCCCCTTTCTCTGGCTTACTACACCCTGACAAGTCCCAGGGTGTAAGGACTGGGTAGTTTGAGGTATTGCGGCCCTTCATACACCACCACTTCCCCCATTCCCTTCTCCATGTGCCAGATCGACTGCTTACGTCACTGAAGTGTGGCAGCAGGACCTGCAGCATCTCCACATAGACCAAGCCATCCGAAAACTTCCGGTCCTGCCCCTTGAAGATGGTCTTGAGGTTGTGGATCGCCTCCACCACCAGCTGCCCATCCACACTCTGCAGACCCTTCACCATGGAGGGCAGGAGGGCCTGCACCTTGGCTGTCTAGGGGGCAGGAGTGTCTGGATGGAGGTTCCTACCTGGGCTAACAGGTAGGAGTCCCAGCCTCTGATTCACTGAGATGAACTTGGTGAGCAAATTGCCACCTGCAGGCCTCTGTTTGTGCCATCCCACCTGCCTAGAATGCCCCCAGGCAAGCTCGTGCTGCCCCTTGAAGCCTCTTTGGCCTCACTGACTCCTTCTGGCCCAGACACCTGAGGCCCTCTGTTGTCTACTTCCTTCCTTGGCACTAGGTAGATAGGGCCCTGCATTGTTAGTTATCGTTCTGAGTCTGTGACCTGCCCCTTCATCCTGGCTACACCATGAGCTGCAACAGTGCCTGGCAGAGAAAAACAAAGCTATTTTTTCAATGCTAATGATGCATCTTGGTTTCCTAATCTGTAAAATGGGAATAATGACTGCCACCTCTCCCTCATCCTGCCCCTCCTACAAACACAGCTGGAAAACCTGGATTAGAAACTATTTCAAAAAGAATAAAGCATATAGGGGATTATTAAGGGATAGTTCCTGAGTGGGGCAAATGGCTAAGCCCTAGACTACTAACTGAAAGGTTGGCAGTTTGAACCCACCCAGAGGCGCCTTGAGAGAAAGTCCTGCCAATCTACTTCCAAAAGGTCACAGCCTTGAAAACCCTATGGATGCAGTTCTAGTCTGCACAATGGGGTCACCATGAGCCGGAATCGACTCAACAGCAACTAACAGCAACAATAACACCCATTTTACAGATGGGACATTGAGGCTGGGGCAAGGATAGGGTGTTGATTCTGGGCACCAGCATCTGAGAGACTGTGATGGCCAAGCTTCATCCTTCCTCAGCTGGGGACCTGCCTGGGCCAGACTCTTCTCCACCCTCGCTCACCTTCTCGGACCTGCGGGCCAGGATGACCAGGCCTCGGATGGACAGCACCTTCATGATGGGGTCGCGGTGGCTCAGGCCTTCTGCCATCCGCCCCAGAGAATACTCCTCGGGGATCCGCCGTACCTGCTCCATCTGGAGGAGCTGAGGGAGCAAACGGGGAATCACTCACCAGGCCAAGGGCCAAGGGTGGCCCACTGGTCTCCCCAGGGGAGGAAGTGCATGTTGGATAACCAGGAGTCCGGTACAGCGCATGAGTGAATAACTGCTGTCTGAGTCAGCACTATTCAATGCAAGCCACTGGCAAGCTGCTTCTGTAAAGATTACAGCCAAGAAAAAACCATGGAGCAACTACTGTCACACACGGGGTCGCCACGAGTCAGAATCAACTCAGTGGCAACAGATTTGTTTTTTTAATAGGCAAATAACTCCCAAATTTCTATCTCCAGTCTCAGCTCCTGCCTAGAGCTTCAGACTTGGAAAACTAACAGTTCACTGGACATCTCCAGTAGAGGTCCATCAGGCACCTAATTGCAAAGCTGAGCATGCCACTCTCCCTTGTGAACCCTCCATGGCTCCCTATTGCCTTTTGCCATTTGGCCCCTGCTTGCCTCTATGGCCTCATACACACCATGCCCACCATTGTAGCCAAGACTCTTAGCACTAGCCTATGAACTCTACCCAAGCTGCCAACCATTTCCTGAATGACCCAGACTGTTTTGTCCATTCTGTGCTGGCAGGATGCCCTTCAGGGGTGCCCACCTCCACTCTGACCTCCACTCACCTTGCACAGCTCCATCTGAAGCTCAGCCCCCCTTGAAGGTATGCTTGACATTGCCCCTTAGTTCTTCCCCGTTCTGCCACCGCAGGCTGACTGCCCCTTCTTTGGGCCCCTGGGAGCCCCGAACATCCCCCTGGGGCAGCACCTGGAAACCTTTAGTGCCCTCATCTGCTTTCACATATGCCTCCCCTATCAGACTGGGGGCTTCCTTGAGGACAAAAACCAAGCTGTTCATCCTTGGATTCCTGCTACCTAACAAAAGGTCCGGTGTGGAGTATGTGTTTAGGGATTGTGTCATGAGTTCAGGTCCTTTCCTCCTTAGAATCACCTTTCCTACTGGGTTCCCCATTGCAGCGCTAGCACCACCAGCCCACCATTGTCCAGGTCAAAAATCAGGCCCCACCCTCATCTCCTTCGCCCTCTCCACTCCCCCTGCCAACAGCAGCCAACTAGTCTTCAATCTCTTCTGAGTCATCGTCATAAACAGTTCTCCCATTTCCTCACCTTACATCTACCAGCCCTACCACAACAGTCTGTGTCAGTGTGTGAGGTGTGTGATGAGAAGAAAGAGCTGGGGAGAGGGAGGGCTAGAGGAGAGGGGGCAGGACAGTTGAGGGGCAGGAAGTTCTCCAAGGAGGGAGGAAAGCAGGGGGTCCACCTTCCCCAGCCCCCTTATCCCCCACCCCCCGGTAGACACAACTTCGGCTTGGGTTTACTCTGCACCCGACTCTGGGCTGGGCATGAGACACCCAGAAATGAGTAATAATAATAATAACAGCAATATAGCTGACTTGTGGAGTGCCTTCTATGTGCCAGGCACTGTTCTAAGAGCTTTACATGGACTCATTTAGTCATCAAAACCATATGAAGTCGTTAACTAGTAAAGAACGTCTGCCTTGAGCATTGTGCTCTTTTAAGAACCATCTATATGGAATCAAATTGACAACAGCAACTCGAAAGATTAGATAGGAACCTTAAGGGCAGTGAGTTTATGTTAACAGGGGAGGAGCAACTGAGAAAAGGAGGGTAAGAATGGTCGCACAACTCAAAAAATGTAATCAGTGTCACTGAACTGTACATGTAGAAACAGTTGAATTGGTGTATATTTTGCTGTGTATATTCTCAACAACAACAACAAAACCACATGAGGTCAGCAATTCATTGTCCCCATATTACAGGTGAGAAACTGAAGTGCAGACAGGTTAAGTGACTTGCCCACGGTCACATAGCTCCCCTGAGAGGTCACCCACCACTGAGAGAAGCGGGCACACACAGTCACAGCATAGAAGGCTAAGGGGAGCCTAGGGGTGACATCTGAGCTATGTCAAAGTGCCACAGCAAATGGGTGGGCTTGGCTCTGGCTAGGAGTGGGCCGCCTCTTCTGGAATGTGGGACTGAGCCTGGGTGAGGACCTTTGCCCCGGGAGGGAGGGCCGCTGCTCAGGCTACAGGAGGATGCTGAGGAAAGCTAGGCCCAGGGTCCCTCATCTTGTACTGGACACAGGAAGCACCCTTGAGGTCTGGCAAGGTCCATATCCTCCGCCATAACAGATTTAAAGAGGAGTGCTTCTCCCAAGAGTCTGGCCAGGATAGAGGAGCAAGACAGGCAGAATCTGTGGTCTGAATCTCTCAGGGCTCCCTGAGCTGTGTGATCTTGAAAAATACCCCTAATTCACCTAAACACGAGCATCACAATTGCTTCTTTGCCGGGTTGCTGAGCAGATTAGTGGGGTAACGTATGAAAGAGGTCGGCACAGTGTTTGGCAAATAGTAGGCCCTCTGGAAATGGTCCTTTCCCTTTCCTTCACCAGGCTCATGAGAGAAATTAAAACCAGGGCAGAGCTGGGGCTGGAACCCAGGACTCTTGGCCCCAAGACACAGCTGTGTCCTCTCCAGAGGTGGCATATTCTGCTGGTCTCTGCAGAGCCAGGCAAAGCGTTCATTCAGGCACTCATTCATTCATCCAGTCTCCACGGCCTGGGGCCCTTTCTGGGCAAGGCCTGTACTAGGGCTGGGGATGCAATGAAAACATGACATGGTCCTTGCGTTCCAGACTCACAGTCCAGCTGGAGAGGCAGAAAAGATGCAATAAGTGCTACTCTTGTTCATCTAGCAAACTTGGCTTACCTGGCAAGCTCAAATGTCACTTCCTCCAGGAAGCCTTCCTTAACTTCACTACCTTTCAAACAGGCAGTGAGCCTCCCGTCTGTGAGTCCGATTGTACAGACCCTGGGGATAACCTGGATCCCCCTGCATCACAACCATCAGGTCACAAGACACAGGCAAGTGGCTAGTTAAGAGAGAGAGGTTTTAGAGCCCAAATGTCTGGGTTTGAATCCTGGATCCGCTGCTTACTAGCTGCATGGCCATGGGAAAGTTGTGTAAATCTGTACCTCAATTTCCTTCTCTGTAAAACAGGGGATGTAATAGTACCTGCCTCATAGTATTATTGTGAGGATTAAATGAACCAATATGTAGAAAGCTCTTAGCGCATGCCTGGAAGATAGTAAACCCAAAACCAAACCCGTTGCTGTCAAGTCGATTCTAACTTATAGCAACCCTATAGGATAGAGCAGAACTGCCCCATAGGGTTTCCAAGAAGTGCCTGGTAGATTCGAACTGCTGACCTTTCGACCAGCAGCCATAGCTCTTAACCACTACACCACCAGGGTTTCCTGGAAGATAGTAGGTGCTCAGTTAACATTGGAAAATATGGCCTTGGTAATAGAAACGATGCCTGCGATTACATGATAGAATTTTGCAAGACCAATGAATTATTCATTGGCAATACCTTTTTCCAACAACATAAACGGGGACTATATACGTAGACCTTGCCTGATGGAATACACAGGAATCAAATCAATTACTTCTGTGGAAAGCAACGATGGAGAAGCTCAATATCATCAGTTAGAACAAGGCCAGCGTCCAAATGTGGAACAGACCATCAATTGCTCATATGCAAGTTCAGGTTGAAGCTGAAGAAAATTTTAAAAAGTTCACAAAAACCAAAGCATGATCTTGAGTGTATCCCACCTGAATTTAGAGACCATCTCATGAATAGATTTCACTAATACTAATGACTGAAGACCAGATGAGTTGTGGGATGACATCAAGGACATCATACACGAAGAAAGCAAAAGGTCATTAAAAAGACTGAAAAGAAAAAAAAAAGGCAAAAATGGATGTCAGAAGAGACGCCGAAACTTGCTCTTGAACGTAGAGTAGCTAAAGCGAAAGGAAGAAATGATGACGTGAAAGAGCTGAACAAAAGATTTCAAAGGATGGCTGGAAAAGACAAAGTAAAGTATTATAATGAAACCTGCCTGGAGTTAGAAAACCAAAGGGGAAGAACATGCTCGGCATTTCTCAAGCTGAAAGAACTGAAGAAAAAAATTCAAGCCTCCAGTTGCAATATTGAAGGATTCTATGGGCAAAAAAAATTGAATGATGTAGGGAGCATCAAAAGAAGATGGAAGGAATACACAGAGTCACTGTACCAAAAAGAACTCGTCTACATTCAACCATTTCAGGAGGTAGCATATGATCAAGAACCGATGGTACTAACCACTTTGGAAAACAATTTGGCACTTCCTTAAAAAGCTAGAAATAGAAGTATCATACGATCAAGCAATCCTGTTCCTTGGACTATATCCCAGAGAAATAAGAGCTGTCACATGAACAGATATATGCACACCCATGTTCATGGCAGCACTGTTCACAATCGCAAAAAGATGGAAACAACCTAGGTGCCCATCAATGGATGAACGGATAAACAAATTATGGCATACTATGCAGTGATAAAGAACAACGATGAATCCGTGAAACATCTTATAATGTGGAGGAATCTGGAAGAACCGATGGTACTGAAGGAAGAAGTCCAAGCTGCACTGAAGGCATTGTTGAAAAGCAAGTCTCCAGGAACTGAGAGAATACCAGCTGAGGTGTTTCAACAAACGACGCATTGCTAGAAGCATTCACTGGTCAATGAGATTCACTGGTCACTGGTCAAGAAATTTGGAAGACAGCTACCGGGCCAACCACTCGGAAGAGATCCATATACGTACCTATTCCAAAGAAAAGTTATCCAACAGAATGTGGAAATTATTGAATAATATTATTAATATCACATGCAATTAAAATTATGCTAAAGATAATTCAAAAATGGTTGCAGTAGTACATCGACAGTGAACTGCCAGAAATTCAAACCGAATTCAGAAGAGGATGTGGAATGAGGTATAGCATTGCTGATGTCGAATGAATCCTGGCTGAAAGCAGAGAATACTAGAAAGATTTTTACCTGTGTTTTATTGACTATGCAAAGGCATTCGACTGTGTAGATCATAACAAACTGCATAACATTGTGAAGAATGCGAATTCCAGAACACTTAATTGTGCTCGCGCGGAACCTGTATGTAGACCAAGAGGCAGTTGTTTGAACAGAACAAAGGGATACTGCATGGTTTAAAATCAGGAAAGGTGCATCAGGGTTGTACCCTGTCACCATACTTATTCAATCTGTATGCTGAGCAAATAATCAGAGAAGCTGGACTATATGAAGAAGAACTCGGCAGCAAGATTGTAGGGAGACTCATTAAGAACCTGCGATATGCAGATGACACAACCTGGCTTGCTGAAAAGTGAAGAGGACTTGAAGCATTTACTGATGAAGATCAAAGACTACAGCCTTCAGTATGGATTACACCTTAACATAAAGAAAACAAAAATCCTCACAACTGTACCAATAAGCAACATCATGATTGAAGTTGCCAAGAATTTCATTTTACTTAGGTCCGTAATCAATGCCCATGGAAGCAGCAGTCAAGAAATCAATGACATATTGCATTGGGCAAATCTGCTGCGAAAGACTTCTTTAAAGTGTTAAAAAGCAAAGACGTCACCTTGAGGACTAAAGTGCGCCTAACTCAAGCCATGATATTTTCAATTGCCTCATATGCATGCAAAAGCTGGACAACGAATAAGGAAGACAAAAGAAGAATTGATGCCTTTAAATTACAATGTTGTCAAAGAATATTGAATATACCATGGACTGCCAGAAGACTGAACAAATCTGTCTTGGAAAAAGTACAACCAGAATGCTCCTTAGAAGCGAGGATGGTGAGACCTCGTCCCACGTACTTTGGACATGTGATCAGGAGGGATCAGTCCCTGGAGAAGGACATCATGCTTGGTAAGGTGGAGAGTCAGTGAAAAAGAAGAAGACCTTTAAGAAGATAGATTGACACAGTGGCTGCAGCAATGGACTCAAACATAGCAACAATTGTGAGGATGGTGCAGGACCGGGCAGTATTTTGTTCTGTTGTACATAGGGTCACTACGAGTCAGAATTGACTGGACAGCATCTAACAACATGACAACATTCTCCCCTTCTGAGTCTGACCCTATCAATTTCTCCTGACTCATCTCTTATGCACATCTCTCCCCAGCCCTTGCCCCACATACACACCCAGTTTAGACGTCACTTCCTCCAGGAAGCCCTTCCTGATGACATCTCAAGTCTCCTATTCTCCCCCCACAGCCTGGGCTTCCCCCATCATCACTCTATAGCACCCCAGGTTTCGATCTTGGTGTCCTCTGTCTCCCCTGCACTGAGAATTCCTTATGGACAGGGCGGAGTCAAATTAATATTCATATCTCTGGTACCCAGTAAAGGCTGACTGTTGCCTGGGATACTAGGGGGTCTGGGAAGAGAGGAATGGGGTGAAGGGGCAGAGAAAAAAGGAAAGGAGAAGGGAGGGAGACCTACAGGGTCTTCATATTCAAGAGAAATCATACTCGCGGGAAGGCGTTGCAAACTTTAAAGTACTGTTCACGCGGGAGAAATGACCAGTAATGGAACTGAGGCCTATGCTCAGGGGAACGCCCGTAAGGAGCCTCCACCCCACACCAGGTGCCCCGGTTGGTACCTCCACGAAGAAGGCAGTGGCGGTGATCTTGTGCTTCTCGTCGCCTCGCTCCAGGAGGGGGATGAGCAGGTAGAGGATGCGGCACAGCTCCTGGCAGGAGTAGTGCACCATGGCCCTGGGGGTGGGAGTGGGAGACAGTCTCCTCAGGCTCTCTGGGCTCAGGGGGGCCTGCTCCTAACACCATGGACAAGCCAGGGTCACCTGGGTGCCTGCGTTCCCAGGATGACCCCCCGGACGGTATCCAGATCTCAGAGGCTATCGAGGTTGACTGCTTCGTTTTACAGATGGGGAAACTGAGGCCCAGAGCAAATCAGTAAATGAGACAGGCTAAGACCCCTGAGTGTACATGACCACTTCAGGAGGAAGAGACAGAAGGGGAGCATGTGAGGACCCACTCACTAATGCCAGGCCCCAGCCAGGCGTTTCCACATAGTTACTTCATTTGATCCTCACCATTACCCTTCAGGGCAGATTACTATCACTATCCCCGTTTCACAGATGAGGAGACAGAGGCTCAGAGGGTGAACTGCCCAAGGTCACCCACATTCACATACATACAGAGCTGGAAAATGGCAGAGCTTTGACCCCCACCCAGGCAGGGCTCCTCACTCCAGCTTCCTCATTCATTCTACTAAGCTGATGGTTCTCAATGTGGAATCCTGGGGCCAGCAGCATCAGCATCACCTGGGAACTTGTTAGAAATGCACATTCTCAGGCCCATCCCAGCCCTACTGAACCAAAAACCTGGGGAGGGGGCCAGCAATCAGTGTTTCCAACAGGCCCTGCAGGTGATGCTGACCCCCACTCAAGATGAGGACCACTGCACCATGTGGCATTAATCTGTGGATCCAGGAAAGGCTTGTGGTCAGGCAGAGTCTGGAATAAGACAGCCTGGGTTTAAATCCTGCCCCATCACAAGCTGAGTGACTTTGGGCAAGTCTCTTGACTTCTCTGGGCCTCAGTTTCCTCATGCGTAATGCTGGGATAATAAAAGTGCTATTTTGTTGGTCATGGTGAGGATTACATGGGTAATCCATGTGCAGCTCTTTGCATGGTGCCTAGAGCATAGTAAGTGCTCAATGGACACTGATGTATCCTGAGACTTCCAGGGAGAGCATCATCCTAGGCACTCAAGCTGCAAGACTAAGAAATGGTTTGGTTCCTTCAGGGGCCACATCATAGATCGAGATGCCCAGGACCCCACGACAGTCTGTGTGTGGTTGGGGAAAGAGTCCTGGTCTGGGGTCAGCTGGTCGTTTCTCAGCTCTGTCACTTCCTGCCTGTGTCACCTTGGGTACAGGACTGCCTGTCTCTGGACCTTGGCATGCTCCTCTGCAAAATGTGCATTAATAATCCCTCCCCACCATGATCATGATAACGATAATACAATATACCCTGTGCTGAGTCTTACCATATGCCAGGAGCTGTTCAAAGTACTTTATGCATAATTTATTTAATCCTCACTCAAACCTCTGAGATGGGTGCTATTATTATTTCCATTTTACTGATGAGAAAACTGATACATGGGGTGGGGGTAGGGGGAAGTAATTGCCCCAGGTCAGACAGCTGATAATCAGGGAGCTGGGGTTCAGACACAGGCAGACCTACCCTAAGCCCACACCCTTAAATGCTGGGCTATACAGCCACTTCTGTACTCATGTGGGGATTAAATTAATAATGTGTGAGAATGCATTATTGTAAATAATCAAAGTGCTCTGCAATTGCCAGAACCATTGTAACCAGGGTGTATATCCGTAGAGCGTTGGGCCGTCTTTCACATCTGTTGGATTCCCAACCACCCTCCGAGGCAGACCATATTCTCCTCGTTATAGAGAAGTGATAGACTGAGTGGAAGGATCTAGCCTAGGGAAAGATGCAAACCCAAGTCTGTCTGAAGATCCTGGGGTCTCTCCCTCCCACTCCCATCCCTGCCCGCGGTGGTCCCCAGGCCTTACCTTGCCAGCAGGGACACTCCACGGTGGTGGTTCTCAGCCTGCCCCAAGAAGTCCCAGCCGCCCTGGTCCTCCAAAAAGGTGGCCTCATAGGAGCAACCCATCTTCAGCAGCAGGGTTTTCACCACTTTCACTACCCAGCTGCCAAGACAAAGAGGCAAAGATAAAACTATTTTATAATCAATTGTGTTGATGAGGGTGTGGGGAAACCCTCTCATACACTGCTGATGGCAGTGCCCTCTGTGGGGCGGGGGTGGCAGTTTGGCAAATGAGCACTTTAAGGGTACTTCACTTTACCCTTCATCACTCAACGGTCAAGAATTTTTCTACCACATATTCTTGTTCCACCTTAATATTTAAATGCAGAAATCCTTTGATGCACCAATTCTACTTTCAGGAATTCATCCTACATATATAATCACACGTGTGCATAAAGACATATGAACAAGTAAATTCACTACAACATTGTTTGTAAATGCAAAGCGTTAGGATCTACCTAAATCAAGAGGAGCCCAGTTAAATAAATTATAGTATGTTGGAATTCTGTATATAGCAATACTATGTGGCTGTTAAAATAATGAGGCAACTCTATATGCAATAATCTCCAAAACCTAAGATAAGGGCAAAATTACCTAACAGTTTGTAAGGTATGCTACCATTGGTGTAAAAATAAAGAATATAAATACATGTGCTTATATGCGTAGACCACTTGTTATGAATTGAATTGTCTCTCCCAAAGAAAGATATGTTTAAGTCCTAACCCCTAGTAGCTGTGAATGTGACCTTGTTTGGAAATAGAGTCTTTGAAGATGTTATCGGTTAACATGAGGTCATCACTGAAGTGAGGGGACAGTGGTGGTTCAGTGGTGGAATTCTAGCCTTCCACGTGGAAGACCACCATCACGCGTCTGTCAGAGAAAGCTTGCGTGTTGCTATGATGTGAAACAGGTTTCAGTGGAGCTTCCAGACTAAGATGAACTAGGAAGAAAGGCCTGGAGATCTAGTTCCAAAAATCAGCCAATGAAAACCCTATGGACCACAATGTGCGTTTCATTCCATTGTGCACGAGGTTGCTATGAGTTGGGGACCAGCTCGATGGCAGCTAACAACAGCATACTGGAGTGGGTGGGTCCTAATCCATTCTGAAGGATGTCCTTATAAAAGAGAAGAAGGGACACAAGAGACAGAGGGAAGAGGGCCATGTGAAGGTGGAATTATGCTGCAGCTACAATCCAAGGAACACCTGGGCCTACCAGAGGCTGGGAGAAACAAGAAAGATTCTTCCCCTAGAGCTTTCGGAGATGGCCCTGAATTCAGAATAGTAGCCTCAAGGACTGCGAGACAATAAACTTCTGTTCTTACAAGTCACCAGGTAGTGGTACTTTGTTATGGTGGTCCTAGGACAGTAGAATCCCACCTCTGGAGGGGTATGAAAAAAAACTATGTGTCTTAGTTATCTAGCACTGCTGTAACAGAAATACCACAAGTGGATGGCTTTAACCAACAGAAATTTATTTTCTCACAGTCTAGTAGGCTAGAAGTCCGAATTCAGGGCACCAGCTCCAGGAGAAGGCTTTCTGTCTCTGCCAGCTCTGGAGGAATGTCCTTGTCATCAATCTTCCACTGGTCTAGGAGCTTTTCAGCGCAGGAACACTGGGTCCAAAGGACACACTTTACTCCTGGCACTACTTTCTTGGTGGTATGATGTGTGTGTGTGTGTGTCCTCCTTCCCTCTTTTATATCCCAAAAGAGATTGACTTAAAATACAACCGAATCCTGTAGATTGAGTCCTGCCTCATTAACATAACTGCCTCTAATCCGGCCTCATTAACATCATAGAGGTAGGATTTACAACACACAGGAAAATCAGATCAGATGACAAAATGGTGGACTATCACACAATACTGGGAATCATGGACTAGCCAAGCTGACACACATTTTTGGGGGACACAATTCAAACTACAACAATATGGTTGTCTTTGGGGAGGATAACAGCTTAGGGTAGAAAGGGAGACTTGCTTTTCTGTCTTTTGAATGTTTTACCCATGTGCATATATTACCTATTATAATTAATAACTAAAAATAAGATGGTCAGTCCTTGGATACGAACATAATACAAATAATATCTCTAGGGAGGGAGGAAAGAAAAATGAAATGGTAAGCGCCTTAGGAGAGGGACTATGTTCCTTTCCTGGGTCCAGTACTAAGCTCAGTGTCTGATACACACAGCAGGGGCTTAACAATCGTTGAACGAATTATTGGCGCTAATAAAATTGTGTTTCTGTTTTCTCTTCTAGTCTCAAAGCTAATCTCTATTGACTGATCCCTCTAAGGACTTCTGGAAGGGCCCTTGCTGGGTGGCTGTCCCCACTGCCAGGGACAGCAGGATAAATCAAGATGGGCAGAGCATACCGGACAGGCACGAAGGCAGGTGGCTGTGCATCCTTGGTATCCTTTCGGGAGGCCATGCACCCAGGAAGGTTGAGGCCAATGTGGTAGTGGACTTGAATGAGCAGGGCCAGAAGCAGCTGGGGGTATATTCGCCTCACGCGGCCCATGCAGCTGTTGACAGACAGGAGCTCACACAGGCCGCTGGCTGCCTGGGGGCAGAGAGGAGGCTGGTGGGATATCCTGGCCCATCTTCCCAGCACTTCTGGCTGGGGCTAGGACTATTTCTCTGGGAGGTTGGACCCATATCTTTGCTCTTCTCTGGCCCAGCCTGGGAAAGTCCAGATCCCCCCGATAAGGCCCCTGGCCCTCTGAGTGGGTCCTACCCAAAACAGTAACAACAGCTGCCGCTTATCTTTGGTCCAGGAGTCTCTGGGTAGTGCAAATGGTTAACATGCATGGCTGCTAACTGAAAGGTTGGAGGTTCGAGTCCACCCAGAGGCACTTTGGAAGAAAGACCTGGTGATCTACTTTGGTAAAATCGGCCACTGGAAACCCTATGGAGCATAGTTCTACTCTGACACACACGGGGTCATCACGTGTCTGAATCAACTCGACAGTAGCTGCTGACTGGCAGCTTTGGGCCCAGGCTTTGACCTCTACACAACCCTGGAAGAATCACGGCAGAGGGATCCCTTCCCACCTTTTGTGGGGCAAAGAGTCTTGATCTCATTTTGTAGGTGGGGAGAGGGCTCAGAGGGGCACAGAGACTTGCCCAAGGTCACCCAGCCCCTTGGGGGCAGAGCTGGGACTTGTACTCAGGTTTTCAGACACTGGCCATAGTTTGCCCTGACCTTCCTCATTCACAACATAGACACATAGACAGTGGGAACACCAGGCTGGCCTCTTCACCCTGGGCAATTAAACTATATTGTCCCCCCTGCACCCACGTGGCCAGCACCAAAGAAAACTAACCCTTGAGCAGGAGCCAGGGGAGGGACGCTGTTCTGGACTCCATCACCGCAGGCCCATCCCTGCCTGTCCCAGACCATAGTGCCTCCCGCCAACCCTCCAAAGCCACATGAACTTCAAGTCAGACTTTGGCTTTGCTGGCGTTTGGCCCACAGTGCTCCGTGGGACCCACTTTGCACTCACCACCCAGTGTCTCCATCTGCCAGCCCAGCTCTGGCCCTGGCCTGGGCCCACCCCTCACACTCAGCCCACCAAGGCCTCTCTCACTGGTAGAGGACAACGCAATGGGGAGGGAGGAAGGTAGGCTGGGGTACCAAGACCCAATGGCTCATTCTGGCTCCGCCATTCCCTGTCCCTCCTTTGAACCTCAGATTCCTCTGTAAAGTGGGGGTACTGATCCTCTTCCAGCCAGCCTCACAGGTGTGGTGGAGGGTAAATGAGAGGGTGGCAGTAAGAATGCTATAGAGTCGTCCCACGGTATCTGCGGAAATTGGTTCCAGGACCCCTAGGGCAGAATGCTCAAGTGCCTTATATAAAATGACGTAGTATTTGCATATAACCTATGCACATCCTCCTGTGTACTTTAAATCATCTCTAGATTACTTATAATACCTAATATAACGTAAATGCTATGTAAACAGTTGCAAAGTACTATGTAAATAGCACTTTACACTCCCTCTTACCTTTGAGGGATTGATTTGACCACTTAATTGCTTTTTAGGAGTCATTTTTTCATAGAAACAAAGGGTACGCATAACACAAGCAGCAAACTCACGAGCCCGAGGTGAACAATGCTGTAACAATGAGTGCTGGAGAGAGACTGGATCCGTGAAATAGCAGGAGGCTACAGCAGGGTATGCTTACACATCACTTCATTCGCATGAGTTCAGCATAGTGCCAAGTTTTGATTTTGGAACTTTCTTCCCCCCTGAAATGTTTTCGATCCGTGGTTGATTGAAACCACAGATGTGGAACCCACAGATACGGAGGACTGACTGTATATATCAGTGGTCAAGAGCTGTGCCACAAGGCCCCATGCAGCAGGCCCAAGGGAAGGGCATTTCACTGTGGAGTGAAAGAACCCCCAGCACATTCCCTTGGAAATAAATAATATAATGTGGGCTGGATGAGAGCAATACATGACGGTTATTTGTACTTTGCTGCTTAGGAAGCCCTTTCACGTACACTATCTCACTCTTCTCAACAGTTAGTAAGATACACAAGACAGGAGTTACTTCCACCCATTTTACAGATCTAAATGCTAAGGCTGGAGAGGAGAAGTAATTGGCGAAGATTATACAGTGAGGTCTTCCTTACTCATTGTCCAGTTTTTGCATGCATATGATATGATTGAAAATACCATAAATAAGGAAGACCAGAGAAGAATTGATGCCTTTGAATTATGATGTTGGTGAAGAATGTTGACTATACCATGGACTGCTAGAAGAATGAACAAATCTGTCTTGGAAGAGGTAGAGCCAGAATGATCTCTAGAAGCAAGGATGGCAAGACTATGTCTCACATACTTTGGACATGTTATCAGGAGGGACCAGTCCCTGGAGAAGGACATCATGCTTGCTAAAATAGAGGGTTAGTGAAAAAGAGGAAGACCCTCAATGAGATGGATTGACACAGTGGCTGCAACAATGGGCTCAAGCATAACAACGATTGTTAGAATGGCGTAGGACCAGGCGCTGTTTTGTTTTGCACGGGGTCTCCATGAGTCAGAACTGACTCGAAGCCACCTAAGAACAACATACAGTGAGGCAGTAGCAGAGCTAAGACAAGCCTTTTGGACTCAAAGCCCTTGAACTTTTCTCATTGATGCCAAAGCTGCTGACTATCTCCAAAGAGTACAGTCTGTGGTATAGAGAAGGGTCTCTAGTGATGTGCCACAGGGCTCCTCTGCTCTTGGCTCCATCTTGCACAAACTGTTTATCAATACCATAGGTAAAAATTCAGCTCAGGTTGTCCCCATGCCTCAACTATGCTGGTTGAACAAGAAGCATGAATGAATGACTCGTGAATACACTAAAACTGTGACTGAAGGAGGAATGGATAAAACCCAAATCAGGGAGGAAATAATGCTGACGACTTAGTCATAGAACTCAGTGGTGGGGGAGACATGGCAGTGAAGCACGGGATTTGGAGGTGAGAAATCTGGGTCAGAGTCCTGGCAGCACCACTCAATAGCTATATGACTTTGGGTAAGACACATCATTAAGCAGCAGTATCCTCCGCTGTCCACTGTATATTTATTTATTTGCTCTCCTCCATCAGAATATCTTGCTCTCTGCTGAATTCCCAGAACCTATGAGTGTGCCTAGCACACAGTAGGTGCTCAATAAATATTTATTCAATAAATAAATCAGCCCAACAAAAATTTTTTCAAGTACATACTATGTGCCAGGTGTATGCTAGGTATTGGGGATATCATGGTGAGCAAAACAGGCACAGACACTATCCTCATGCATCTCACATATTAATCCAACGATCCCCTACACTATTGTTAAGTTGCAACTGGGGTAAATTCTCCCAAAGTGAAGCATGTGCCATGGGAAAGTATAACATACAGATTTGACCTGGTCAGAGAGATTGGGGAGGACTTTACTGAGGAGGTGATATTTGAGCTGACAACTGAGAGATGAGTATGAGTTGAGTAACTGGAGAACTTTCTAGGCAGTGAGAACAGCACATTCAAAGGCCCTGTGGCAGGAGGACATGACAAAGACCAGGGAGGCTGAGGCAGAGCAAGTACAAGGACCATGGAATGTGCTGAGGTTGGAGAGGGGTACAGGGTCATGCAGCACAGGCAGGAGGACTGTGTTACACTCAAGGGCAACGGGAAGCTATTGAGGAGGGTGAGAAGAACAGATGTGTATTTCTCAAAGATTTTTTTGGCTGTGGTGCAGATTGGAAGGAGTCCCTGGGTGGCACAAACTGTTAAGTGCTCAACTACCAATAGAAAGGTTGCTGGTTCAAACCTACCCAGACTTGTCTCAGAAAAAACGCCTAGTGATCTGCTTCCAAAAGGTCACAGGTTTGAAAACCCTGTGGAGCAGTTCTACTCTGCACACATGGAGTCACCATGAGTCAGAATCAACTCAATAGCAACAGGCACTGATTGGAGGGGCTATAGCAGAAGCAGGGAGATGAGTGAGGAGTAGGGGTATTATCCAGCTGGCTTGGACCCTGGTGGTGGTGATGGAGGCAGAGAGAAATCCATGTCTCCAGTCCACTTGTACCAAGTGCCTGCTATCTTCCAGTCTCTTCTTGCTCCGCCCCCCGCAACCTGGCTGTCAAGCCAGCATCCTGCAGTCAGAGCTGCCTCTTCCCTCTGTGTTCCTAGGGCTGAACTCTGAGCCTGACAGCAAGAAGTACTTAAACGTTTGTGTTGCCTAAACAACGGAATGAGTTCTCATTTCACCTTCACAACCACCAAATAAGGCAGATGTTATTTCCATTTACGGATGCAGAAACTCAGCCTCAGAGAGGTGAAATGACTTGCCCGGGTCACAGAGCAGTAACATAGTAATGCCAGACTCAGACTCAGAGCTGTGGCTCCAAGGCCATTCTGTTTCCACTGTCGCAGGCTGCCGCCGCCACAGTAAATAGCACTACTGTTATTGTCCAGTAGATCACAGGAGCCCAGAGACAGAGACCTGCCTAAGGCCACACAGCTAGTCACTGGCAGCGTGGGGAACTCAAAGCCAAAGCCCGGGTGTGCTGAGCTCAGTAGAGGAAGGGAAGGAGAGAGGAAACGTGGGAAGGGCAGAGACGGGGGTGGGTCCTCACCGCTAGGGGCACGATGGAGGCCCGGCCCTTCTTAGTGACAGGCTTCTCCTTAAGGCTGGTCAGGAGCAGATCCAGGAGGTTTCGGACATCACAGCTGGGCTTGCGCAGTATCAGCTGCCTCCACATCTCTGCTCCATTGCTGAGAGGCCATGGGGAGGATGGTTAGTGGTGGTCAGGGCAGTGGGGCCCACCCTGCCTCTAAATGGTTTGGGGAGGGGAAAGAGAAAACATCAGTGCAATGACATCCATGGGCATGCCAGCAAGGAATGGTCCAGAAAACACTCCCCAGGAAGTGGAGGTGCTAACAATTACTGAAAAAGCTATTTTCCAGGTATCATGCCAGGTGCTTATATAGAATTTATTTCCTTAGCAAATATTTACTGAATATTTGCTATATGTGAGGCACTAGGCCAAATCTCTGGGGATATGCATGTGAACAAGACAGTCAAGATATTCAAGGTCATTGGGCTCTCATGACCCTCAAAGTGGGTGTTGTCATTCCCATTTTACAGATGCAGAGTTGAGGTTCAGAGAGTTGAAGTCACTAGTCCAAGACTACACAGCTGATGAGCAACAGAATCAGGATTAGACCAGGTCAGATGTCTCCATCCCTGGATGGCACAATTGGTTAAGTGTTCGACTACTAACTGAAAAGTTTGAATCCACCCAGAGGTGCCTTGAAAGAAAGTCCTGGCAATCTGCTTCTGAAACCTCACAGCCTTGAAAACCTTATGAAGCGCAGTGCTGCTCTGCACACATTAGGATGCTATGAGTCAGAATCGACTAGATAGCAACTGTTTGTTTGCTTTTTAATGTCTCCAAAGCCTGTGCTCTTTCCTCTATACCAAAGAGCAAGAATCAAAGTAGTTGAACCCTCTGGGGCCTGGGTCTTGCATTTGTCACATAATACCAGGGAACAGTGCTGATGGACCAGTGTGGTAAAGGGTTAACAAAAATCTTTCCCCTTCTGCATGAGCATTTGAACCTTCCATTAACTTTCTAGCTTTGTTCCCCTGGAAACCCGATAAAGATAGTATGTCAACTATGTTGCCAGGCAACATTGCTTATGGTAAAAATGACCCGATTGGTAAATTGCATCTGAGCTGGGAGGAACTATATATTAACTATAAGAACCAGGTGGGGATGCCACAGCATTGAGCTTCCCAAGGTGCAGTGACTCCTGTAACTGGGCTTGTCCCCGTGGGGACCCTGGAAGCAAAGCCTGTGGTGTTACTATAACAGAGACTGGTTTCTGTGAGGCCTGAAGCATTTAAGCCAGGGCAGCTCCTGCATCTACCCCATGAGTCTCCTTCCTTCACACCCAAGGGCCTAACTACGGAAAATAGCGCTTAGGGAAATTAGTGTTAAATTGCTGAATGATCTCTCACAGATGGTGATGGAAACTGTGATGGGCAATAGTGGCGCCCAGGGCATGCACTTGTTGCCCAGGCAAGCGCCCTACCTGCCCTCCCTAGTTAGGCCTCTGCTTACACCTGAGCTTTCACCGAGCGGCCCAAGGAAATGACTACTGGACTCTGGACTCGAGGCCAAAACTTGGGTGAAGTAAATGAGGCATCCAGGGCCCAAGATTTAAGGAGGCTCTCAGTCTCAGGCTCCTGCAAGTGCAGCCTCAGCATCTAAATGTGGGTGCCTCCTTAAATTTTGCACCCTGAGTGCCTCACTTGCCTCGCCCCAGCCCTGTCTGGACTGCTGCATGGGTGGCTGTGGGAATGCCTGCAAAGAGGAGCCCCTGACACTACCCTGTCCTCTATCCTGAGTGACTCCAGTGTCAAGTGTGGTCCAGGATGGTCTTGTGAGTCTGAATGTTTAGTTGAACCCAAAAGAAAACTCCTTGGTGGGCAGTGTAGCCAGCAACGGGTAAATCCTTCCAGGTGGGAGGATGGGGATGTGCCAGGCTGGCCCTCACTATCCTGATTGCTCTCAGTCTCTATGAATGATAACACCGATCCTTACTGGAAGCACACCCCATTTGCCCAGCTCTAGCACAATTCTTTCATATTTGCTCTCAAACAACTTTGCTCTCAACTGCTAACCTAAAGGTTGGCAGTTCGAACCCACCCAGCGGCACTGCAGAAGAAAAGTCCTGATGATCTTATTCCATTACTATTACAGCCAAGAAAACCCTATGGAGCAGTTCTACTCTGACACACATGGGGTCACCACGAGTTAGAATCGACTCAACCACAATTAACAACAACACACAATGCCTTGTTTTATTCATTCACAGAACACATAGGAATGTTTCCTGCACTGGGAGGCTGAGGCTAGCTGGGCTACTCTCTTGTGCCCATGAGCTCACTGTCTGGTCCCGGTCCCTTCTGCCCATCAGAACGTGAGAATGGTGTGTCCGCTTGCACAGGCCAGGCCCCAGCCCACACTCAGGGCCACTGGCTGCATTCCTTGTCACAACCACCCTTCCAGGGTGGGGATGCAGGGATATTTCCTCCTTTTGACTATGGAGGGAACACTGAAGCCCAGAGAGGGCAAGCAGTTGCCCAAGATCACACAGCAGCTAGAGGCAGAGTCAGGACCAACACTCACTCAGGCCTCCTTTCCTTGGCATCATTAAAGAGCTCTGGGCTTGGAGTCAGTCAGACCTGAGTTTAGGTTCTGGTTTTGTTGCTTGCTCAATGGGTACCTAGGGCAAGAAATTGCCCATCAAGCCTCAATTTCCTAATCTGTAGAATGGGATTGTTGTGAGAATTGGAGAATGTATTAAATGCCCAGCATGGTGCCTGACGCCAAGCAGTGCTTATGAAGAAGGGCCATTTGGGAGGGCAGGGGAGCAGAAGGAGAAGTTCCCAGGCCCCACTTGGTACCTGTCCAGCGGGAGGGGGCACATGAGCAGGGCCACAACAACCTCAGTCATGAAGGAGCTGGCCAGAAGGGAGACAGGCAGCAGGGCCACCTCGCGGGCCCGCGGCTCCTGGATGTGGCTCAGTTGCACATAGATGCCCTGCATGATTTCTGGGATCTGAGGCACAGCCGGGCAGCCATGAGCAGGTGGAGGCACGGTGTGGGGGAAGGGTGTGGGGGAGATGGGAGAAGGAAGGAAGGGGGTGTGACAGGATAGACAGGAGTGACAGGGGAGAGGATGACAAGTCAGCGGGAGAGGAGAGAGCAGGGAGAGAAATGGGGGGTGAGAGAGCACAGTGCCTGCTCCTTCCCTGGGGTGAGCCAGTTGGTCTTAGCTGCCTCCCCCACTCCCCAGCTCAGTTGCTTTCTCTTGGGGGATGGGGAGCAACCTGCAGGTTGGGGGCTCCCAGAACTCAGCTACCACCCCTCCACTCTTCCCTGCCCCAGCGCTTGGTGAGGGTTCCAACACCGTTCCCCACCCCCCAACCCCATCCACAGACAAGCAGGCTGCCCAGAGCAACAAGCAGGTCCTGTAGGGTCTCCCAGATCCCCAGCGATAGTCCAGCCCCCTACCCCCGGGGGGCCTTACCACCTCCAGCGCCCTGTTCCGGTACCACTCCAGCACCGAGCTGAGCGTGACTTCCGAAGCCAGCTGCATCATCTCCCCCAAGTCCTTCCCGAGAGCCTCTGAGCCACCCTTCAGCCCTTCCAGGGCTGCCAGCAGCAGGTCCTTTACCTGTTGGGGCCCCAGGAAGTCCCCAAATTCCTGAAACAAAGATGCAGAGATGCTGACATACCTGGAGTGAGATACAGACGTACAAACACAGCCACTGAGGGGCCCATGCATACCCAGTTAATCAGTGGGAGGTTGGGGGGAGCTAGAGAAGAAGAGGTGACACGGTCCCTGCCCCCAGGACTGGGTGGCACCCATCAGGGCAAACAAAGTCATGGCCCAGGAGATGTGGCACAGGCCAGAGGAGGAGGGGGCGCTCCGGAGGGGCTAACGTGGTGGGGAAGGCTTCCTGCAGAGTCGCCTGGCTGAAAGAGAGGGAGGGGCAGGCACTTGGGCGGAAGGCTGATGGGTAACAGCAGTCACCGAGATCACACGCAGGATGTTCTGGCACGGGCTGACAGGGTTGTAAGGCCCCAGGAAGCGCTTGTTGGTCTCATAGAGGTCCATCTTGTTGGTCTGCTCCTTGTCTCTGGCTCCTGAAAGAAGAGAATGTCTCAGTGAGGCCTGGCCACCCTATTTTTTTAAGCCGTAAGTGCGCAAATCTTAAGTAACCCCCTTGATAAATTTGCACACAGTGAACATACCATGTATCCAGCAAGAATTGGAACATGACAGGCACCCCAGAAGCCCCTCTTGTGCCCCCCCACTTCCAGTCATTATCCCCTGCCCGCCCAGGGTAACCGCTATCCCGACTTCTGTCCCCATAGACTAGTTTTGCTTGCTTTTGAACGTTACATAAATGGACTCATACGACATGTCCTCAGTGCGTGGTCGTTTTTCCTCAGCATTACGTGGGTGAGGTTTATCCACGTTGCTGCAAGTAGCATTAGTTCCTTCATTCTCAGTGCTGTATAAATTCCCATGGTGTAAATATACCACGACTTGCTTATCTATTCTCCTTGTGACGGACTTTTGGGCTGCTTCTAGCTATTATGCATAGTACTGCTGGGAACATTCTAGTACATGTCTTTTGGTGAACATATGTACGCGTTTTTTAGGTATATACCTAGCAGTGGAATTGCTGGATGGTGGGGTAGACATATGTTCAGCTTCAGGAGATACTACCAAACAATTTCCGCAGTGGGGAGCCAATTACGCTCCCACTAGCGGTGTACGAGAGTTCTGATAGCTCCACTTCTTGCCAGCACGTGGTATTGGCCGACTTTCTCATTTTTTACATTCCAGGGGGTGGAGAGGTGTTGGTGGTGCCCCTTTTAGATTGTAACCCTTCTACCCTCTGGCATCCCCAATTCCCCTTTTCTGCTTTTTTTAAAGCAGTCTCACCATGTGACTGATGATATGTATTATCGTTTATTTTGTTCATTGTTTGTCTCGTGCCAAAAAGAACACAAGCTTAATGAAGGAGGAAAGTTTAATTCCTCTCTTTTCGTCACTGCTATGTCCCCAGAACCTAGAATAGTACCTGGTACGTATTGTTGTTAGTTGCCGTTGAGTCGACCCTGACTCATGCATGGCAGCCTCGTGTGCAGAGTAGAACTGCTCCATAAGGTTTTTAGAGCTGTGACCTTTGGAAGCAGATTGCCAGGCCTATCTTCTGAGGCACCTCTGGGTGGGTTCAAACTGCCAACCTTTCAGCTAATAATTGAACACTTAACCATTTGCGCCACCAGGGACTCAGGGGCTACATATTTTCTGTTGAAAGAAACACATTTCAAGCCCGTTTCCTGAGCCCTTACCAGGGCCTGGCCTGGGTCCCACCTGGATCCCCTCAGGGTATGCAAGACACCCAAACCAAACCAAACCCACTGCCCTGGAGTCAATTCCGACTCAGCAACTCTATACGACAGAGTAGAACTCCTCTATAGGGTTTCCAATGAGTGGCTGGTGGGTTCGAACTGCCGACCTTTTGGTTAGCAGCCAAGCTCTTAATCACGGCACCACCAGAAAGGGCCATCAAGGCACAGTGATCATAAGAACAAAGTGTGGGTGTTGTTTGTAAAGGGAAAGAGCTTAGGGTGTAGAATCTAACAGACCCAGCTTCGAATACAGATTTGCTTCCTGTAGTCAGGGGGCCTGGACAAACCACTTCACTCCTCGAAACTCCTCTGACAGTGTGGGTTTGACCTAGGGGTAACTACAAGATAATATACAGGCCGCCCATTAAATTTGAATTCAGATAAACAATGAATAATTTTTAGTATAAGTATGCCCCCAAATATACTAAAAATTATTCATTGTTTATCTAAAATTCAAATTTAACTGGACATCCTGTATTTTAATTGCTAAATCTGGCAACTCGAATTTGGTCTATAATATTCCTACTCCTAAGGCCAATCATGGAGCTCTGGTGGTGAAGTGGTTAAGCATTTGGCTGCTAACCAAAAGGTCGGCAGTTTGAATCCACCAGCCACTCCTTTGAAACTCTATGGGGGAGTTCTACTCTGTCCTACAGGAATCTACTCGACGGCAGTGGGGTTTTGGTTTTGGTTAAGGCCGATCATAACGTGGCTTATACCACCCTCACCCAATCACTCAGGAGGTGTGAGTGGTTCCCAGGGACCAAATCTTTGCCCCAGTACTAGAGATCCAAAAGAGCAGGGACAACAGACAGATCCCCAAAGGCTGCAATGATAGGCTGAAATGAGTAAGATGATCTTTTGTAGGAGAGGGACAAAGGAAACTATATAAAAAGTGCTTATAATGTACCAGGCACTGAGCTGGCCTCTTCTCATATAGGACCTTGCTTAATCTTTCAAAAATCTTACAAGTTATACCTATTGTGACCTTTTTACTGATGAGGAAACCTAGGCCTGGATAAGCAACATGGCTTTCCTGAGATCACACAGCTGGGAAGGGCCAGAACCAGGTCTTGTACCCAGGTCACTATGTCTCCAGAGCCAGTGGAGTTTAAACAACATGCCAAAGTCCCCTGGTTTGGGGCAGAGTTGGGAAAATGGAGAAGAAATGAAGGTAAGGAACAGCTGGTACTCTGAACCTCTGGTGTAGGTGCAGGGCTGGCTGGGTGCCTGTGTCAGCCTATACTACATCACCAGCTCCCTGACGTCAGATCTAGGGGTGCTTTCCCAACTATGGGTTTCAGCCACTCACATTCTAAGACCTGTGCTTGGTTCACTCATTCAATAAATATTCACTGAGCACCCACCATGTGCCAGTCCCAGTGCTAAGCCTTGAGTATACTGTCGTGAATAAGACACTACCCTGCCCGACCCTCAGTGGGGTAATAAGTCTAGTGGGGAAGACAAAGAAAATTGCCATTAAGGCTTTTATGTCCTGGTGTACACAATACCGTGGAAACATGAAGACAAGTTACAAATTAAGCTTGGAAGGATGTAAAAAGGCTCAGGGAGAAGAAGAGTTTCTTGAATCAGAATAGGTTTGTTTGTAGGCTGTCTCTGGTTCTGTGGTGACTAAGGCTTCACACCAGCTCTCCCAGGCCCCATCTGACCTTATCCTGGTCTCTCCCATATCTCACCAGTACTTTATTGCCAAGGCCCCAGCCTGCCTTGCCCCAATTCCCATGCTGAGTGTCTATTCAGAAGCCTTGTTTTAGAAGCACTCAAATGGGGCTTACGCTTTTGGAGCTCCAGGATGGTGTAAAGGATGGTGATGCCGTCCAGAGCTTCCCGGCCAATCTCTTCGTCAGGATCCCCGATGCGAAGGATGAGCCTCCCCAGCAGAAGCCCCAGTGCCGGGAACCCCGAGGACATCTATTTGTGTCAGAATCTTAGAGATTGAGGCTTATAGATTCAATAATGCTATACAGTAAATGGTGAACAGTGCTGAATGGTCTTGGCGCTGATAGCAGACGGAGGATGGTGAGGGCCACCTAGCAATCCCTGGATAGATGCACAGGCTCCCTCAGAGCTAGGAAGATTCTCCCCATAAGTGCCCACCCTCCCAGGTGCCACTCACAAAGAAAGGCAGTGTCAGAAGTGTGTGGTTCAACACGGAGACATTGCTGTTCACAGCCCGTGCTCTCTCATGGGCCTTCTCAGAGTACATCCAGGGCCCCAGAGGCTGTGGGGACAATAAGGGCAAGACTCAGATCTGCAGGCTGGATTCCAGCCCCTGCTGCCAAGGTGGACAGGCCAGCCTTTGCCAATCAGCAGGAAACTTCCAGGGAGGGCGTGAAGGTAACTCACCACAGCCCTCATCTTCTTCTCAGAGCTTAGGGGGAGATGGGGTCCAGAAGCTGAGAACAGGACTGACAAACAGGAGGGAAGAAGGGGGTCAATGAGGAGAGATGAGAGGTGGAGGATCATGCAGAATAAGAGAGAGGCAGAGAGGAGAATGGAGTGAGAGAGGAGATGGGGACATCTGAAGCAGGAAGATGGCGGATAGAGAGACAGTGAAGGGGTGCGGGACCGGGACAAGGCCTTTAAGAGGGACAGGGAGGCAGAACACTGGCACAAGATGACATCCTGGAGTCAAATCCCTCCTTCCTGCATCCAGCCCCCATTCCTGAGTCAATTCCCCTCTCCCTGTCCCCACTCTTCCCTACTCCGTACCTCCAAGATGCTCTTCAGCCCAACAGGAGTGGGATCCTCAATAAAGAGGGCATTGAGCAGCGTCTGCAGTGCATCCAGAGTCTGATGGTAAAGTATCTGTGGACAGGAGGAGGACCAAGTCACTAGGGGGCTTCTGGGGCAGACTCCACCCCTGGCATGGGTCAGAAGAGAAGGGGGCTCTCAGACCCAGGAGAGCTACTTTCTGGCCCCACCTCTAAGACTAACTTGATGGGTAATATTGGGCAAATTATTTCCTTCTATGTGTTACAATGTCTTTATTGGCAAATTGGTAATAATTATCCCTGCCCTTCCTTCTCTAAAGGGGGAGGAAGCAGAGAGCCAGCATTTGCTGAGAATCTACCACGGGCCAGGAGAGTGCCTGCTGAGTTTTACAGCCATGGCACTTTGTCTTCACAATGTTTTTCTCATTTTACAAATGAGAAGGCACTCATCCAAGGTCACACAGCAAGGAAGTTTGAAGTCATGAGGAACAAATGAGAGGATGGATGGAAACGTGCTCTAGAATTATAAGAGCTAGATAAATAGGAGAGCCAACCTTATTTTTATTATTGTCTGTGGGAAAGTGCTCTGATTCTTTTTTGAATTTCTACTCCTAGACCCAAAGAGATTTTCCAAGTGGGCCCCTTTAAGGAAACTATCCTTTCTCTGAGGTTCCAGGTTCCTCATCTCACAGTTCTGGAATTGTCTTATGAAGGTGTAGGTGTTACATGTGTGCAGGCTGGTTGGTGGGTTTGAGCCACTCTGGGAAGACCCTCTCTTCCTTGCCTCCTCTCCTCTTGTCAGCTCCCCAAGCCTGTCCCAGGGGTTCTCATTGTCCAGGCTTCCTGAGCTTTTGCACAACCAGGAGCCAGTGGTTCTCAGGATTACACCACAACCACCAAGCAAGCCTCACCCACCAACTACCTCCTCCTTCCCTGCAATGTGCTGTCAATCACTGTGCAGCACTGACCTCTGCTGGCCATGTCTGGTATGACACGATGGCTGCCCTCTCTTCTCACCCAGCAAGGACTCCCCCAGCTTTCCTTTGAGTCTCTCAGCACAGCACCGCTGGGGCTCAGAGCCCTCAAACTGCCTGCGTGGCCTCACCACCACCTACTCTCCAGCCTCACTTCTCACCACTCTTGCCCTCGCCCTCTGGGCTCCAGCCACACTGCCTTCTCGTGATTCTGCAGTCACCATGTTCTCTCTGTCCACAGGTACCCACATAGGCTGTTCCCTCTGCCTGGAATGCTCCTTCTTCTGCACCCTCTTCTATTTAACTCTTCTTTAGCCTCTCAGCTCTATCATCACTCTCAGCTCCACCATCATGATCCCTCAGGGAATGTCCCCACAACACAGGTTCTTTACAGCACCAAGTACTTCTTAATTGCAGCATTTACCACTGTTGTAATTTTACATTCCATCTCCCCCGCCTCCCCACCCCCATTACTGAGTTTGGCATGAAGTAGGCACTCAGTTAATGTTTGCTGAATGAAAGAATGAATGAATGTGCCTCACCTGAGCTGACATCTTCTCCTTTAACCTTCCCCAGTGACCTCAGCTCTCCCTTATCCTGAGGGTCACCTCTGCCCCCCAATGACCCAGCTCTCCCCTCATCCTAAGGGTCACCTCTGCCTGCTCCTCTCAGGATATCCCTGCAGCAGTGTGAAGATGCTCACACCAGCCTCTTGAGTCTCCTCTTCTCCAAACCTCAGCCCCAACTCCTTCAGTCTTTCTTTGTGATGGTCCAGTCCTTAGTCCAGAAGTGGACAGGGCCCTCCAGATGAGGGTCCTTTTGTTCTGAGGATTCACTCATTGACCAAATATCCATCGAGTGTCTGCTCAGGCCAAGAGAGGTGAGAAGAATTGCCAAGGCCAGGCAGCTAATGAGTGGGAGGGTGAAGTTCCAGATCGACCTCCTGGAACACCTTTCTCCTCCTCCACCCTGGGGGTCCAGAAACACACCTTAGTGTGAGGACAGTGAGTGGATAGCCCTGAAGATGCACCTGGGAGGGTGAGGCTTGCCTTACCTGTATGGCCTCAGCCTTAGCCTCGTCTTTCTCCTGCATGGCCTGCACAGAGGGCAGGGAGAACACGCTCTTCACACATGCATTCACCAGCTCTGACCTCTCCCGCAACCCCAGGACTGGCTGCTTGTGACTGGAGAAGAGACAGGAAACAAAGGCATCGAGTGAGGAAGTGGGCCTGTTCTGGAGGAGAGGAAGCTAAGGATGTAGGGTTGGGGTGAGGGCCCCCTGAGATGCAGACTCCATAAAAGGAGGGGAAGAGGTGGAGGGGGAGGGAAGTGGGGTATGGGTGTCAGACAGTCCTGGCAGGGACTGGGCCAGGGAAAGGAAAAGGTGAGGAGTGGTGGGGGCACCATGGAGAGGCCCCAGAAGAGACAGGCAGAGCCTGGGGGAGTGGTAAGAAGAGGGGGGCATCGTGGATACCTCAGCTGGGTCAGGGTCTCCATGGCCTGCCGGCGGACGCTGCTAGAGAGGGAATCCAGTGGCTCCTCTTGGATCTGCCTCTGGAGAGGGGACCCCAGAAAGGCTGATGAGAGGGGCAGGGCCGCTCCAGACCTCACAGGGAGCAGGCCACACAGCCCCTCAGCCTGTACAGAACGCCCCCACCAGTGCCACACCCTGCCGGCTTCCAGGAGCTGGAGAGCCCGCTTGCTGCTCAAACCCATCCCTCACTTCAAGGCCGCCACAAACACCCTACGCCCTAACCAGCTGTACCCGGCATGTAGGGCTCAACAACAATTATGTCAGCAGCCTTGTGGTGGGGAGGCTTATTTAAAGCATGGACGGACCTGATCAAAAAGTGACGTACATGGCCCTTGAAAGTTGTCTGGTTAAATTCCTTTAAAACATCCTACAAATTACTTCTCACTTCCACTTTTGATCTAGCACCTGCACACAGTAGGTGCTCAGTTAATGTTAGTTAAATGAAGATGCAAAGCGTAAGGATTTTTTTTCTCTTTTTAAGGGAAGCCAAATATAATTTTGAAAACATCAGTGGTTATCACTGGCAAAACCCATTCTGGCAGATGACTGAGCAGTGACTGTGTTTAGCAAAATGGTGAGGAAACTTTCTGAAGTTTCCCACCAGGAGGAATTTCTGGGGAAAGAATGTGTTAAATAACAATAACTGTTTCCGGGTGCATAAGGCTTTACAGTTAACTAACCATTGGGTTGTGCTCCTCCCAGCAACCCAATGATACAGGTATTATCACACCTACTTGTGAGGTAAGTGGGAGGCTCAGAAAAAGAAAGTGACTTGTCCAAGCTCCCTCAGGAAGTTAGAGGTGGAGCTAGGACTCAAGACCAGGTGTCCTGCCTCCTCATCGTGTCCTCTGCCCACCTCAGACCCCTGTCTCTTCAGTGGGCGGCCTCAGCCCTTCCGCCCACTCTCCACCCCAGTGCCACAGACCCGCATGTGACTTCCGCACCATCATCTTCTTCATCAGGATCTTCTTCTCTCCTTCTGGTTCCAGCAGATTCTGACCCATCTGGAAGGTGACGACATTCTCAACCTTGGGGGCAGCAGAGGACAAAGCCACAGAGTGAGCACCACACTGAACCTAACCCTCAGGGGTTTCTGACATGCCACCCATTAACCACCCAACACATTCACCTGTTCCTCCCCAGCTGCCAGCCACCTGCACCGGCTCAGGAGAAGTAACAAACCACAAGGGGAGCTTAGAATGGGGGGTGAAGATTTGAGAAGATCACAGTGGCAGGGGGTGGGTGGGGAAGGATAATCCCTCAAGGTCAGCATTTGGAGGAGGACAAGGTGTTGGAGGCTGTAAATCATTCCCCCACCTCCAGTCAACTAAGGGAGGAGAAAAGCAGCAGCTGGTGAGACAGGAAAGGTCCTAACACCTGGGACCTGAAATTCTACCATTAGCATCACTTCTTAAGGGCCTTGTAGTACATACTAGTCAGGTTAAGGCATTCTGCTACCCGAGAGAGGGAACACATTAGCTGATGTCCAGTTAATCTATGACCTCCTGCTATCTTATGGAAGAAGCAAAAAAATAAAATAAAATAAAATAACTTCATATAATAAAGATAACAAAAGACGCTCATCTGATGGAGAGGGTGGTGGGTTAAAAATGACCACAAGTTCCTTCCTACTTTGCCTGTCAAGAGATGGAGTCTATTTCCTCTCCCCTTAAATCTGGACTCATCTTACAATTACCCTTAACTAGTAGAATGCTACGGAAGTGATGCTGTGCCAGTTCCTAGCCTAGCTCTTAAGGGAACTGGCAACTGGTAGGTTCCTCTTTTTCTCTCTGGAACTCAGCCTCCATGCTGTAAGGAAGCCCAGGATAGACTACGGAATGATGAGAGACCATGTGCAAAGAGGCCCTGGGTGATGAAGAGTCATCTTGGATGTTCCAACCCCCAACAGTGATCTCAGTCTACACCACGTGGAGCAGAAGAACCACCCAGCTGAGCTTAGTCAAACCTCAGAACCATGAGAAATCGGGCATCTCTAATCCATACTTCCCAGCAGAGGGAAATTTTAAGCCTGTAAGTTTTGAGGTGGTTTGTTAAACAGCAACTGATAAACAGCGAGAGTAATGGTGGAGGGATGGCTAATTTAGACCAAATGGTCAGGAAAGGCCTGTCAGAGGAGGTAACATTTACTCTGAATTCTGAATGGCAAGGAAGAGCTAGCCATGTAAGAAAGAAGGAAGAAGGCCTACCTGTCTCCCCAAACTAGAGTATCAGTTCACTGTTGTATCCTTAATGCCTAAAGAGCGCATAGCACATAGCAAAGGCACAATAAATTGTTTAATAACTAAATAAACTCTCTTTGTACAGGCACCACGCTCAATGCTGTGCATCTGTTATCTAACATAGGCCTCACTGCAACTTTATTGCACCCATTTTATAAATGAGAAGAACCTTCCTGGCAGAGGAAACAGCAAGTACAAAGGCCCTGAGACAGGAATGAGCTTGGCATTGTGAGAAACAGAAAGAAGGCTGATGTGGAGAGAACAAGATGGGCAACTGAAAGAATGTCACAAGATGAGGACAGATGCTCCCAAAATGCAGGGCCTCTTCTTGGTCCTGTCACCCTCCCCCCTACTCCCACCCTGCACTGTCCCAGGGACTGGAGCTTGCCCCTAAGCAGCCTGGGGCCAGGGCCTCCCTCCTGCTGACTCCCCTGGTACTGGCTGCCCATCTGGGTTCCCTGTGTCCTGGCCTAGGTGGATTCCTTGTCTCTGGACTGTGTCCACATTTCAGTCTTGCCCACTCTCCGTTTGTCACAGTCATGGTCGCCAGCCTGTCCAGTCTGCCTCCGCTGGCCCTCACCAAGTTGTGCCTCCCCTGCTGGACTGACCTTCTCTGGCCCCTTGCAGCCTGCTGCATAGCCAAGACCTGGGTTGGGTCTGATTTGCCCTGAAAAAGGTCATACCCAGCCTTTCTGTCCCTTTCGGAACCCCTCCCACAATTCATTCAGTGATTCAAAAAACTTTTATTGAGCACCTACTATGTGCCAGGCACTGTTCCAGATGCTGGGGATAGAGTTGTGAACAAGACAGACAAGAATCCTTGTCGTTATGGAGGTTACATTCTAGAGTGGGGAGGCTGACAGTAAGACTGAATACGCAGAGCGTATAGTGTATCAAATGGTGGTGAGTCTGATGGAGGAAAAAAAAAGCTGGGCAGAGGACCAGGGATGTTAAGTGGTGTGTGTGGGATAGGGTGGGGGGAAACCCCAAGAGAGTCAGCTGGAGGTTGAGCCAGAGGCATACCATGTTGCTGCCATCCTCTTTCTTTCCGGGCTTCTTCACCAGGCAAGAGGGCACTTCTTCGAAGACTCCTGCATGTCACCATTTCAATGAGGAGACAAGAGGGAGGGTAAATATATGGGGTACATAGTCCCCTCTCCCCTCCTCCATGCAGGGCCCCTCCAATCCTGACTCCCCAAGCAGCCAAAGACGGCTTTTGAAAGTGTAAATTAGCTCATGTCACCTCTCCTGTCCTTAAAACCCTTCAGTGGTGCCCCAATTCACTGAGTACAAAGCCAGCATCCTTGCCAGAGCCTTCAAGGCCCTGTAGGGTCTGCAACACATCCTCGCCTCCGCATCCCTATCTCCCTCTGTTCTCCCCTCTCTCACCGTGCTCTGGCCACCCCTGCCTCCTTGCAGTCCCCAGAAAGCTTCGTCGCTCAGGGCCTTAGCCCATGTGGTTTCCTCTACCTGGGCTGCCCCCTGCCCCAACCCCTTGCCCAGCGAGGTCTCCCCTCCTTCAGTCTCTGCTCACCTGCACTCCTCAAAGGGCCTCCCTGCACCCCCAAGCTATACGAGGTCCTCCATGACCCTCTTCATCATCCTATTCTCTTCTTTCCACAGTTATCACAATTTCTAATTAAACATTTGTTTGTTATAGTAGATTCCTGCTGCTTTGCTAGCCCCAAACCACCTCACTTTTCTTTAGGTGAAAGAATCCCTCTCTTTCCTGTGGGTTGCCCATTCCATGTAGCTAGGTGAAGATGAATTCTGCAACCGCCACCCATCAGCCCCTCTTCAAACAAGGGTAGCCTGGAACCCAAGCTTGGCTAATCCTAGTGCTCTGTGCCCCTAGACACAGGGGCTGTTCCACGGGTGGACACCTCGCTGAGCAGGGCCCATAGAGCCCCTTATGGGAGTCGAGAGTATCAGCGAGGGAGAGAGACCTCTCTCCTTCTGAGATCGCAGAGAGGCCTAGAGCTTCAGGGCATCTTGGCCACCAGAGGACGCCATGGAGGATGGAGCCGATAGGGAGAAAAGCAGAGATGAGAGGGAGCAGAGAGAGAGAGAGACATCTGATATTATTTGAACTTTTGGATTAACCCTGTTTATAGCAGCCATATCCCTTGGACTTTTTAGTTACATCAGCCAATGAAGTCCCTGGTTTGCTTAAGCAACTTTGAGTTGGATTTTTTTTTAAACCGTGTATTTATTTATTTTTTATTGTGCTCTAGGTGAAGGTTTACAGAGCAAATTAGTTTCTCATTAAACAATTAATACACATTGTTTTGAGACATTGGTTGCCAACCCTGCAACATGTCAATACTCTCCCCTTCTCGACCTTGTGTTCCCCATTTCCATCCGTTCAGCTTTCCTGTCCTCTCTTGCCTTCTCGTCCTTGCCCCTGGGCTGGTGCACCCATTTAGTCTCATATGCACAGTTGAACTACATGTATTATTGTTTATTTTGTGGGCCTGTCTAATCTTTGGTACTGAGTTAACAGGGTGTCCGGGGGCCATATTCTCAGGGTTTCTCTAGTCTGTGTCAGAACAGTCAGTCTGGTCTTTTTTTGGGAGTTTGAATTTTGTTCTACATTTTTCTCCAGCTCTGTCTGGGACCCTCTATTGTGATCCCTGTCAGAGCAGTCGGCGTTGGTAGCCAGGCACCATCTAGTTGTGCTGGACTCAGTCTGGTGTTGAAATGGATTTTAATCTTTTACAACAGAAAAGGACATTCTTGCAATGAAGAATCCCAACTTCATGGAGAGAGTCTCTTATAATAGTTGAGTGGGTCCTGGGCTTTGTCTTCTGCCCCCTAAATGATTCTTAATATATAAATCATATATCACCCCTGCTTAACACTACTGAATTAACTAATTATTTAGCGCCTATCACTGTCTAGCTAGGTACTGGAGAGTCAGGGGTGAATAAAACAGATAGAATCGTAGTTCTTGTGGAGTTTAAAGACTCGTAGGGAAGACACATTAAATATATGTAAGGTTCAGACCCCAAGAGGCCACCTCCCTGCTGCAGGGCGACACCAGAAGTAAATCTGCTGCATACCCACACCAAGGGGATTTCTTCAGATTTCCTTATAGATATATAGATAGATAGATAAGTAGATAGTTTGAAAAACAAAATCAGCAAAACTGACCTAGTTGAAATATGTAAAACATGGCACCCTATGCCTGAATAATGCAGAAAACCCAAAAACCAAACCCGTTGCCTTTGAGTGGACTCCAACTCATAGATATCCTATAAGACAGGGTAGAACTGCCCCATATGGTTTCTAAGGAGCACCTGGTGGATTGAAACTGCTGACCTTTTGGTTAGCAGCTGTAGCTCTTAACCACTACACCACCAGAGTTTAGAATAATGCAGATTCTTTTAAAATGCGATAGAAACTTTACTAAAACTTACATATGCTAGACCATAAAGCAAGGCTCAACAAATTTCAAAGAATTTAAATCACATAGACTATGTTCTCTGACCACAGTGGAATTAAACCAGAAATCAATAACAGAAACATATCTAGAAAACATTTAGAAATTAAGCACTCACTTCCAAATAACCCATGTATCAAAGAGGAAATCACAATAAAAAACTAGGGAATATTTTGAACTGAATGATAATAAGAAATGAAACCTATCAAAATTTGTAGGAGTTACTGAAGTCATGCCTTGAGGGAAATTTACGGCCTTAAATGGATATTTTAGAAAATAAGAAATACAGAAAATCAATTATCTAAGCATTATCTCAAGAAGTAAGAAAAAAGTAATAAATTAAAGCAAAGAAAATAGTAAAAAAGAAAAATTAAAGAGCAGAAATTAGTAAAATGGAAAGTATACATACAATAGAGAAAGACAAAAGCCAGAGGTTCTCTAAAAAGGCTACACAAAACCCACAACTAACAATTTACTTAATGTGAACAATGCTTTCCCTTATCAGATCAGGAACACAGCAAGAATGTCTGCTCTCACCATTTTTATTCAACATTGTACTGGCAGTGCTAGCCAGTGCAATGAGGCAAGAAAAAGAAATAAAGACATGGAGATTGGAAAAAGAGAAGTAAAACTCTTATTCACAGAACAACATGATTGTCTACGTAGAAAATCCTATGGAGTCTGAAAATAGAAACTACTGGAATCAGTTTAGCAAGATCATAGGATCCAAGATCAATATATTTCTATGTACTATCAACAAACAATCAGAAAATGAAATTTTAAAAAAAATACCAATTACAATAGCATCAAAAAATTCTTAGATGGCCCACATGAACCACAGCCTCTTCTAGCCTGAGACCAAATGAACTAGATGGTGCCCAGTTACAACTACTGATCATTCTGACCAGGGACACAATAAAAAGTCTTGGATAGAATGGGAGAAAAATGTAGAACAAAACTCAAATTCATAAAAAAGACCAGAATTACTGGACTGATAGAGACTAGAAGAACCCTGGAGATTATCACCCTAAGATACACTTTTAACCTGGAACTAAAACCACTCCTGGAGGTCACCTTTCAGCCAAGTAATAAATTGGCCTACAAAACAAACAATAACACCTGCAAGGAATGTGCTCCTCTAAACAATCAACTATACCAAACCAAATGATCAACATTTACACAAAAGCAAAAATAAGAAGGCAAGGAGGTGCAGGGAAACTGGATGGATGGAAAAGGACAGGCAGGGTGGAAATGGTGAGAGTGCTGACACATTACGGGTATTGTAACCAATGTCACAGAATAATTTGTGTATGAATTGTTGAATGTAAATCTAATTTGCAGTGTAAAGTTTCACCTAAAACACAATAAAATATTCAAAAAAAAATTCTTACGGATAAATCTTACAAAAGATGTGCAAGAGTCATAAACTGAAAATAATAAAACATTGCTGACAGAAATCAAAGAAGATCTAAATAAATAAAGAGAGATACCAAGTTCATGGATCAAAAGAATATTAAAATGTCAGTTTTCCTCTATCTGATCTATAATCAGTGCAATCCCACTCAAAATCCCAAAAGGCTTCTTTTGTAAAAATTGACAAACCAATTCTAAAATTCATATGGTAAATCAAGGATCTAGAATAGCAAAAATAACTAAAAAAGAAGTATAAAGTTGGATAACTTACACTACCTGATTTCAAGACTTATAAAGCTACTGTAATAAATTTATCTTGGAGGAAGTACAGCCAGACTGCTCCTTAAAATCGAGGATGGTGAGACCTCGTTTTGCTTACTTTGGACATGTCATCAGGAGGGACAAATTGCTGGAGAGAGACATCATAATTGGTAAAGTAGAGGGTCGGCAAGAAAGAGGGAAACCCTGAATGAGATGGACTGACACAGTGGCTGCAACAGTGAGCTCAGACAAAGCAACACTTGTGAGGATGATTTGGGAATGGGCAACGTTTCTTCTGTTATACATAAAATCACTGTGAGTCAGAGATGATTCAATGGCACCTAACAACAACCATAATAAAGACAGTACAGTATTGGTGAAGGGATAGACACATAGCTCAATATAACAGAATAGAGAGTCCAGAAATAGACTCACATATATATGGTCAATTGACTTTTGAAAAAGAGGCAAAAGCAATTAAGTGGGTAGTCTTAAAAGCAATTAAGGGTAGTCTTTTCGGCCAATGATACTGGAAAAAATATATGACATTAAAAAAAAACAGAACTTGGATCCATATCTCATTCCATATAAAAATTAACTAAAATTGATCATAGATGTAAATATAAAACCTAGAACTATAAAAACTAAAAAAAGAAAACATAGGAGAATATCTTTCTGATTTTGTGTTAGGCAAATATCTCGTACATACGACAACAAAATCATGATCTGTAAGAGAAAAAAAATTGATAAATTAGACTTTTTCAAAATTAAGAACTCTGCTAAGTGAATGAAAAAACAAACTACAGAATGGGAAAAAAATATTTGTAAATCATCTGTCTGATAAAAGACGTATCCAGGATATATTTTAAAAAAACCTGAAAAACACTTAAAAAATTAAGAAAACAAGCCAATTTTCTTTAAAAGGTCAAAAGATTTTAACAGACACTTCACCAAAGATGATATATGGATAGCAAA